TCCTCGACTATACGTTGAATCCGAGGGGCCACAAAGGGCACGAAGAAGAGATGCGCCACCGCACCCGCAACGCCGGCCCAGTAGAACGTTGTGCGCGACACGGGCAGAGCACTGCGCGACCGACTGAGAAGAATATTCGATACACCGGTGGAGATGGTGGCTAGATTAAGGGCAAGGACGGAGACGATCTGACGATTGAAGATATACGTGTACCACTTTGGCAGGACAGCGTCGGAAGATTTCCGGATAGACGGTTGGAGGAAGGCTGAGTTGGAGAACAGCTCGACCAGGGCATGCACGAGGCTGCCTGTGCTGGTGGCTAATGGCGCGACGCGGAGTAGCTGGAGTGGATCGAAGATGAGTCCGGAGGCCATGCCGATTATTATGCGTTGATGCGTTTAATTCTGTGCAGCAATCTAGTAGAGAACTGATTCAGGAGAAGTTGCGGATGTGAGGGGATTAAATAAACAAGGCGAGGGGCCAGTGGGGCCACCGTAAGACCTAATGCAACGCTATGCAGGGATAGATCAGGCCACAGCTTTGTACATTGGTTACTTATGTCTTCAAAAAGAATAATAGATAATCGATATATTTTTTATAATCCGAATTAGTCCTTGTGGTGCTCCTCTCGCACCTCCACAGGTTGCTCGCCCTCGTATGGATCAACCACTGTGTCTCTGAACTTGCGCGCCGACACTCCTTGCTCGAACAGCAGATCCAACTCCTCATAAGTCCTTCCCTTGGGCTCCGGTAGGCGAAAGTACGACCAGATCAAGCAGGCAAGACATGTTCCGGCCCAAAAATATGCGCTGCGGGCACCCCAGTTCCAAGCCGTCGAGTTGAGCTGATAGTTCGTGAGCACATTGACAACAATGTTACTGACGTTGTATCCGACTCTCGCCAGCACGATCGTCTTAGCCTTGAGTCGGGTAGACGACAGTTCCGACACCAGCGAATACGTCACGGGTCCGATGGTAAAGTCGTAGCAGAAGGTGAAGATAATCAACATCGCACCGATCGCCCACTTGGCCGCACTATCATCTCCTGGCGCAAAAGAAAGACTACCTGTGATCACGAGCAAAGTGAATAAGCTTGCCAGACCGCAGACGTGCAGTGTGCGACGACCGGCGTAGGTCATTAGGAACCACGATCCTGCGGTCCCAATGAAGCCGAGGGCATACTGCGCTAGCGAGAGATCGAAGGAGCGCACGGTTGGCAGACCAGCCTGGACGCAAAAGTACGCAAAGTAGCCCATGAGGTTCTGCCCGCACAGTGTCTGGACCAACCAAACTACACAGACAACTTCTGTTCGGCGCAGGTTCGTCCCCTTGAAACAATCGGTGTATTTTGTGCCGCTCGCAAGCGCCTTTTCTAGCTCGTTCGTATGCTGGATCATGGCGATGGTCTCGTCAGGGTCGAAGTTCGGATCGTGGGATGAAGTAAGCCGCTGCAGAGCCCTTTTAGCACCCTGGAGATTACCCCGTCGGACATGCCACCAGGGTGATTCGGGTGCGAAGAGGATTCCAATGAGGATCGGAAGAGGCCACGCCCACTGCACCGCAAACGGAATCCGGTACGCCCACTGGTCGGTTCTTTGTATGGACCCGCGATTCACACCTACCGCGACGAACTGCCCAATCACCCAACACATATTGATAAAAGTCGTCAAGTACGGACGGAGGACAACAGGACACACTTCAGAGGCGTATGCGGCGGGCAACGTCTGGAAGATGCCCCAGGGAATACCGGCCAGAATCTCTGCAGCGAGGAGCATCTTGATATCGACAGCGAAGAAGAAGAGGAAGATAACCGCGTTCATTGCTGCCAGCGCCGAAACCATTGTCCAGCGGTATCCCAGTCGTTCCGAAACCAGACCGTTGATAAGCAATCCGATGACTTCGCCGACTCGGGCCCCATTGGAGAGTGCGGATTGCCACGAGGCCGGGACCGTCCATTTGCCGGATGCAGACTGCACCCCATATTTCTTATTGAATGCTGGAGACGCGTACATGGAGCCGAGTAGGGCCAAATCGTATCCTTCCATGATCAGTGCCGACGAGAGGAGGACGGACCAGCCCACGGCCTTGGGATACAAGCGAATCGCTTGCCAGAGCGTCATGGACTGTTCTTTGCGGGCGGCTTTCTTGCCCTCCACGAGAGGTCGAGGCTTTTGTCCCTCCATAGCGTCTGGATTGTTGGACATGGTCATATCTCGACTAAATGTTTAGCAAGACGGCCAGCAAAGCACACTCGAGTGCTAGACGGGCCTGGCTGCAGTTGGAGGACATGCATGAGATCCTGAGGCATATGGCACTATTTATATTCAGTGTATCTGCATATTGTGAGGTCCGTCCTGCTCTCGAGATGCGCCAGAAAAGTCAAGGACCCTTCTGATGCAGGACGATCTGGGGAATTTTGCTTTACCCCACATATTTCCATGTGGGGGTCCAGCAGATGGACGGGTACACGAGCTTATCTCCTTTCTCATTGGCTACGGCGATGCAAGTCGGCCTCTACTCGGAGGCAAGCCGGATGCAAGTCGGAGCGACGGGCTGGTTGCTGTCATTATCATCACTGGAGATACAGGACACTGTTTGACTCATATCAAAGCAGTAATTTGTTCAGACTCGTAAAAATAAGAGTACATTGAGGGACAGTGAGACAACGGCCGCACTGACAAAAGCTAACTTTGCGCTTCAGCTAATCCACCTGAACCCAACCCAGAGACTGTTCTATGGGATGTGATGTATTGCTGATTACCATCGTGCCATCCGGATATGGGGTCTAAGGCCTTCCGGTGCTCGCCGCGATCGGATCCAACCAGGCAATGTTGGGCCGATGTCCCTCTGGCGTCATGAACACATCAACCGGACGAGCATACGGCGCCACCTGCTTTCTGTTCAAAATCTGGGTGACATTGCCATTCTCCTCCGCGGTCTGATTGTATCCAGGCCCGTAGACACCGTACACCGCCATCAAGGTCTCGTTGATGAAGTTGTTGTTGGGCGCTCCCTTCCACACCGTGTATCCTGCAGGTAAAATGCTGGAGTCGAAGTATGTGTTCATGAAGATTGATCTGTGGAGGTTATTCCAGGGGCGCCCCAGTGAGCACTGTCCCTTGATACTGTTTACAATAGATGAATTGGCTGCGATGACCTGGGAATCGGCGATGTAGACACCGTACTTGTTCTCGAAAGTGGTGTTGGTGCCCTTCCAGGCTGTAATGCCGCCACCACATCGGCGCAGGGAGAGGGTTGTCTTTTCGATGAATGCCGTGCCAAAGCCATAGAGAAAGTCGGTCTGACCCGCAATCACGTTGTCGTAGAAATAAGCATTGGCAAGTTTTCCCACGTACAACTGTATTCGTCAGCGGTGTCCTCTCAAGATTCTTCAGCAACATACAGTATCCTGGTAGCTGTAGAGACCGCAAGAGTAGAATCCTGCGTTTGCATAGCCCAAGCCTACGGCGTGGGCAGGTCCATATGCATATGGAACGTACTCGTTGCGAAAGTCGATGTTGTACGCCCGGAAGTCGGAGCATCCAAAAGATGTGTTGGCAGGCACCGGATATCCTGTTGGGCCCGCACCGGTAATGGTTGCGTTATAAGTGGGACCGACAGTCAGGACGCCGGTGTAAACATTGTCTGGGAATGCGGCATTGTGGTTGGCTGCGTTCCAGTAGATCTGAACATCGTTCTGGACGGTGGTGTTGGTGTCGATATGGCCATAGCTCTCCCGCTGCCAGGGGCGATTCGACTGGCCCAGGAGCGTGAGAGGTCCGGACCGTGTCACATTGAGCTGCTCCACATAGGTTCCAGCCCCGATAAGGATGACATGGGAAGAGGTATCATTGGGCAGCGAGTGGATGGCCGCTTGGATAGACTTGAAATGAGCTCGGTCATCGTTCTGGCTGACAAAGAGAGTGCCGTGGGGGCAGCCCTGAAGAGGATCAGGTGTGATTCTTTGGCACGATTTGTATGTTTCTGCAGGTCGAGTGCCCTTTCCGAGAGCTTCAGGGAGCAAGCCCAGGGCAAGAAGAGCGGAAGATGGCCTCATTTTGTCTATTGTCTTGACAGTGAAGCAATTGCACAGTCATCTCGGTGGGAAACTGGCCCCTTGATAAAGAGTCCCGGGAAAAGTGCGGATAAAGTTGGAATGAAGCTATATCCGTTGTGGAGCTGAAGGAATAATCTATAGATCCATTTAGGATTCCTTAAGCTTTCTGAGGCTTTATCCACGGATAATTCAGGTTCTTGGAATTATTCCTCCAATGAGCTTGTATCGCCGGTGGAGTACCCCGCATAAATTGTCAATGGAGAGATAAAGCCTCCTCAAATATGTTGATTGATGATAGTCAGTACGGAGTAGAATGTTCTTTATTAATTAGTTAGACAATGTCCTTCAAGTAACCTGGGTAGTGGGTACACCAATGTCTCAAAAGGATCACAACATGAACCGATCTGGAAGTCAACTAGTCGGAAGGAAGATGACTAGCAATTGTTGAGATTACACATTCTCAGATCATGGAAATTATGGTACCTAAGGCATGCCTACAACTCTGATATTCGGACATAATCCTATTATAAGCGAGAGGATGGCAAATCAGCAGGTACACAGTGATCAAAATATGTCTCCGCTGTCTGCTTCGAGACGATACTGCACAGCAAGTTACAGGCTTCAATTATAATATTTCTTTTGCAAATTCTGAACTAGGACTAAAGCAAGCGCTGCGTCATGGAGAATATCAGCTCCCTCTAATATACATAAAATAGATGTGTGCCTTAGGCATTCTCCCCTATGTCTCAACCATTTCTCCAACCTCCTGTTGAGACAAAGTTACGGTCGCAACCATTCCCTAATAAGGATTTGAGATACTGTCCACAACCGCTATAGACATCAGGTCTATAGATCGAGGTCCGTGCAATGCTAGGAAAATATGATGAGATTGCCGACATGGGAAGGGTCTGTAGGCAGCAAGGGTAGGTAGTCATATGCATGCGTTAAAAAATGCGGTCTGTACTTGGCTTCACCCACTGAGGTCTCTGACATTTGTGAGCATCCCGGAACTGCTTGATTTTCTCCAGGTCCCACCCGGCTGTTAGCGACGTGTCTTCTGTGGCGGGTTTTTGCGCGCCTAGTCGCATGGACGGAACAAAAACACAGTGACCAGAATGGGCATAGGTATATGAAAAACACTGGGGATGCTCATGGCATGCTGCCGCGCAGGCTTCAACAGACCTATGGGCGGGCGAATCGGATGGCTCTTGCCATCCGCCCCAGTCACCATTATCCCACTCCGTTTTATAGTCAATGGCGCCCAATTTCGTGAACTCGAATAGGTCGGCATATAGCAATGGAAGCTATAGAGTATCAGTGTTAGGAGCCGTCGAGGATGGAACCAGCGAGGGCCATGAGGAAAAACATACCTTGCGGCCACGTCGATTCTCCCATCTCGCCAGCTCAGTCATATCTTGTAACGATAGTTTGTGCATGCTAATCACCGGTTGACACCAATGCCATTGATTAAAAGGAACCCCATGCACAGGATGTGGATTGAACATCGGCCACATCCCGGACAGCTTCACCCCACTTTGATGGAGTGCCCATCCGAGTATTGAATCTCCGCAACAATCGTCATTGATCAAACGCTTATAACGCTGACTCAACGGAGGTTGGCTGTACACGCCATTGCTCCCAACCTTACGAGCTACCAGCCTTTGGACTGCCGCAGTCGACAGCACAAACCCAGCACCCCCATAGGCGAAGAAAGAGTGGCTCTTTCCAGGAGTCGGGGAGCCAAAGTATAAAGGAAAAGACGGATCGAACTGGTCAAGGAGACGGAACAAATTGTCCCACACGAAGTATGTATCGGACTCGATGAAAACAAACCATTGAGCAGTCGGATTCATTTCATAAGCCTGTTCGACCATGGGTAGGAACTTGTATTTGTCAAGTGTCCAGCCCTGAGAACCCCCAACAGTCTCGAAATCGCCGCGCTGGAGCGCGCTATACGCCTGAAAGTCAGAGCTATTTCCCCAGAAGCTTTCTGGAAGAGTTGCGAGAATATCGTATACGTGATGACCCTTGATTTCCGATTCATGGTCAGAGAAAACAATGAGATTAGTTATGCAGCGGGTAACAGTCGCCAGATGGGTATCGACCCGGCTAGGAGGCTCTGTACTGCCGATTTTGAGAACAACTTGAACGCGCGAGAGGAGGTATGATGGGAAGGAATCGCAACTGTCATCGCCGTCACTACTCCCTTGGATTTCGTTGGTGTTGTGCGCATTCGAGAAGCGGGACGTTGTCTCCCACTCCCAGGCATCGACGTAACGTGCATAGAATAGGCCAGATCCTAGTTTCAGACCAAGCCAAAACATAAACCCCGTCAGGACGACCAGCAAAGCATGCTTTTGTCTCTTCTTCGGCCATGATTTCCAGTACTCAGACATCCTTTCCGCAAAGAAGCATAACACGCGAAGAGCCGCAGTTAGGCCGCGGGTTGCATTGTTGCGGTACATGGGAATGGCATGTAAAAGCCACGGGGATTTGGGAGGGAAACAGAAGAGTGTCGGGTCTAGACGCGATACAGGTCAGGGACCTGTCCCTTCTATATAATACACTTGCTGGATGGTCTATCGGTCATGCATTAGTGCCCTTTTCTGTTTGTGGCTTAGCAGGACAGGTTGTCCGGGCCTGTAATAATAATGAGTCTGAAAAGCAGAAAAGGTACGAAGGAAAAAGACAAAAACGGAACCAACACTACCTAAGCCTGTGACTGGACGCTTAACCTCAAGGTCTGGAGCGGTATTTAAACAAAGTCAGAATGACGAGGTTGATATGTCATTTGGATAAAATTTCTGTCATTCAAAAAGTTTGTTTATTGTTTCCCACTTGGCATGGGGAGATACGTAGGATCTGCCTTTCGGTTCCTCCCGACCGATGATCACTCTGACAACGTATTACCTAGTTTAAATTTCCTGTCAACTTATCCTCGAATCCCTGTTATTAGCATTGAACTAGCATGTACTAGCATGTACTAGCAGCGAGTCGACCGTCGCGAATCTCGAATGGATTCTGTGCGTGCTAACACCCCTGTGGGTCAACCAAATTTAGTGCGGATAATCCATGCCCTACGTTACATCGTGACAGGCAGACAATGAGACACATCACGCACAGCGAATCGACAATATGGATTAAATTAAGGCGTTTGATTGGGAAGAAGTAGGAACACAATGGTTACGACCCTGGTACTGGCTGACTCGCGGTGATGGAAGCAGAAAAGCCATTGATTCAGTCTTCTAAATTGGGAGAACTGGCCCATGGAGACAAACTTTACGTTGTGGAGATCAGTCTGAGTTTTGACCGACATAAGCCCCAGCCTCAAAAGGCTTGTAGGAGTATGTTTACCATTGGTTGTTCTGGTCCCTTTCTCTCTGCCTAATCGCGACTAATGCGAGGAGCTAGATCTCAATAAGAAGCCTATCGGCCAAAAAAAACTCAACTGCCTTGCGTGACAGTTGCTAGGGACAGGAATAGTTGATACGCATCAGACTTCATGCTAATGCTTCGTTCTCGGAATATCCACGAACGGCGTAACTGCATCAAAGACCAGTTCGCTCCACCTTGGTGCATTGGAGGTCGAGAAGGGCACGATCCATCTGTCAGATTGTCAGTAAGGTCCACCTCGGGGAACGTGAGGACTTACATTAGAGCAAATGGTGTCGTCGGTGCCGGAAGGACAGACGACGCTGATATTCTCAGCGCGGATATTCTTACATACCTGTTTTTGTGTGGCATCAACGTGTACGGCTGGCTAATACGGCCACTGTGCAATAATTCAGTAACAGGGTCAAGTCGTGCCAGAAAATCCCACAATGGCAGATGCATGTGTCGGCCAGCCATCGGTAAGGCGCCCGCAAGCCGCCCGCACGCTTCGTGGACTAACCAGTTTCGGCACTTGACTAACTAACGCCGAGCATTTACCGAATACAGCACTACTTCCAGCTTTCTATAAGACTCTTGCGACTGTGAAATTCGCTGGAATTTCTTTCAGATCTTGACAATTCTCTCCTGCTTAAACTCCGTAAAATGCGCCTCATCCTCACTGGCGCAACCGGCCTCGTCGGCTCGGCTGCCCTCAACCAGATCCTCTCCCTTCCCCGGGAACAGATTTCTCACCTTTATATCCTCAGCCGCAGCCCCGTTCCGATGGCAGAAAACCGACCCAATATAACCGTCATCAAGCACGAGGATTTTAGTGATTACTCACCTGAGCTTTTGGAGAGGTTTAAAGGTGCAAATGGGTGTATTTGGGCTCAGGGAATCTCTCAGTCCCAGGTTTCAAAGGAGTATGCTGCCATACTCGCTTAAGCCTTCAGATTCTAACTGTTCAAGGGAATATGTGAAAATCACCCTCGATTACCCTCTCGCGGCAGCAGAGGCATTCTCTACTTTGTCCGACTCATTCAATTTCGTCTACATTTCTGGAGAGGGTGTACGTCGCCATGCCCCAATTGCTCCCTTCGGGTATGAAATACTAATGAAAAAGGCGACCCAATCTCCCTCCCCATTCACCGCCCTCTTTGGCTCTGTCAAAGGCGAGTGCGAATCCTCCCTTATCTCCCTTGCCAAGAAATACCCTAGTTTGAAAGCCTACTCGGTTCGTCCCGGGTACGTTGATCCAGAGAACGACGCCCAGGTTCTGAAGCATATTATGCAACGACCTGATCAACAGACGCTGGCGAAGAGAGTGTTCCGGGGCGTGCTTGCGCCCTCGATGAGGGCGTTCTTCGCGAATTATGTCTCTCCCACGGAGCATCTGGGACGGTTCCTGACGGATTTGGCGAGTGGCGATGGGAGGCCGCTGGGTGGGAAGGGGGTGACTGGAGACGGTTGGATTATTTCGAACTCTGCGTTTCGGAGGATGGTTGGGATATAATCTATTATATCGAGAACACCAGTACCAACGATGTGAGCATAACAGCCGAGCATACCGACCTAAATATTTATGACCAGTCTCACTGTAGGCTAGGTCCAGGAGGTAGATCAACGTGAGAGGCGTGATGATGTAGACCGCGAAGTGTAAAATACAATTATTAGCGGTAAGCCATTGCTGATTCTCCTTAACTCGCAGGACTCTCATTAAGTACACTTTGCTTTAAGCCAATTAGGGATGTGGTATTCAGTTCAACAAGAAGTGTGTCAAGACGCAGCTCATTTCTGCCAGGACGTGGTGGTAAGGATAGTCGAGACTAGGGCGAAAGGAAGACAATTGACTATTGTAGAATAGAGGTCAGAAAACAAATCCTCCATCTTCTTTCAAACTCAAGATGGCACTCCCTTATGAGTGTTTCCAACCTTCGTTTTCCAGGCTGATGAGCAATAGTGAACTCATCTCACATTGTTGAAGCTACCAACTGCAACCAGCGTGCCCCTACTGGACCCACCTTCATAACTAACAGTCAGCCGCTCTCATTCTCGGCCATGTCAGCAATTCGCAGCAGTTCCAAGTATGTACCTATATCCATGAGTCAGCTATGGTGTATCTAACTTGAAAGTCAGATTCCTGTTACCTGCTGCTTTCCATCGCAGACCCAACGAACGTAGTGTATCTTCACAGATAAGTCTTCCCGTAAGATATTGCGAGATATTTGTCTCTACAAATAACCACGACAGATTCGCCGCACAGTTGTAAATGCAATGGAGCATCAAGGGCGAGGCTCTTTCCATTGTCGGATGCGTAAGTCGTGGTCTAAACTCCTGTACAAATGACAGCACTCGCAGGCATATCTCTCTTATCATATCCAAACTGCGTTGCATGCATTGACGCACGCGGGGGGCTGCATTAGCATTGACCTGAAAAGACGAGCTGTCTTCGTAGAAAAGATCACATGAATGGTGATTATAGAGCTTGAACAGCGCACTGCGAACCATCAGTATGGATTCATGACCAAAGTCGCCACAAAAGTGTCACCTGAAGCAAATAGTGGTTGCAATACAAGTCTCCATTGACTCCGCTGATTGTTCGGCTGATAAAAGCTCCGTTAAAGACAAAATAGTCTGATCGAGTGTTTCAAAATTATCAAGCACGAAGTGAAGCTCCAGCTTTGTTTCGGAGCAGTGCCTAATGACGCGGCCGAGGAGATTCGCTGCCTGTGCTAAGCGGGCAAAGGGACTGACTGTGCCTTGTTCTGAAGATAAAGAAACGCGTTCCGGGGGTACCATTTCCTATTTGATTCCTTCCATCAATTTACAATACGGGAAAATATCATGCGGAGAAAACATACCCCATTGTCCCAGGCACTGTCGTCGGCGGGCAGAAGGGTGTCGTTGTTGGGGTCTTCAGTGCATAATGGCCGATAATCAGCGCCGACCGTCACATACCTAGCGAGTAAGTCCATTGCATTGCCACCAACACTATATTATAGCTGGCTTCTCACCTGTCCAGAATTACAGTCATCCACCATACACGCAGCCTCTCCTCCCAATCCGCCCAGCTCCGGGGCTTACCGGCTAGCTGGGGGGCTAACCTGTTGTGCAAGCCCATAGCAATGCCGCCCCTCGCGCAGTGACCGATTGTCATGAAGGCTGAGGGGAATATCGCATGGCCTAGTTCATAGATGGAGAGCAGCAGACCGGCTTGAACAATCCGTAGGGTGAGAGGTCCCTTCATATGCAGATCATTCAGGAATTGCTTAGCGACAATGTAGAGCTCTGACTGCCCTTCCTGTTGCGGCGGCGGCACCTCCTGGACAAGTTTCATACAGAGATATAGCAGAGCGATATCCGCTCTGATTGTGCCCAGGGAGCGGTCTGCGAGCCGGTCCAATCGGATTTTACTAATTATCGGCATCCATACATGAACGGATTGAAAATAGCGAGCCTTGATAAGGTCRATATCRGACCGGCTCCCCAGCAATTTCGCGATCTCCTCTGGAACCGGCTCATGGATACTCTGCGCCGGCGGATTCCAGGCGGACAATATGTCCGAATCCAGGTATGAAGCTTGCACATGCAGCAGCGACTGCGGCAGATGGGGCAAAGATGAATGCTGGCAACTCAACCGACCCGCTATAGGAACTGTGCATCGTGTCTCCGTCGACCGATGCAGGATATGCTCCTCCAATTCACGAACTCGGCGTTGCAAGTTGCTGATCTCGTCTATATGACTGGGTGGCGGGGAACCCGAGTAGTTACAGAATCTACCCGTCCTAGTCACGAGAGAACTTGTCAGTGATGAAGGATAGCATATATTGTCGCGCGGGAGGCTTTCGGGGCAAAGACCAACTTCAGACACAAGCTGCAACTGGGTAAGTTCTTATCACAACGTCGCTTATTCTTCTTACACGAAGCACAGGCATGGGGAGCACCACCGTGGCCCACAATATTTTCATCTTCCATAGTGATTCGCTTTCGAGCGTCAGGAAAAATCGCACACCGGAGTCTATCTTGCAAAGTTGCTTGAGGAGCGTACAGCCAAATGGAGGTGGGGTTCTATCGGCCGCTACGACGACGAACGCCAAGAAGTCGCCGTAACTTCTTAAGTAGTCAGCGTACGCTTAGTTGTGCGGCCGCAGGGTGGGGACCAGTAGCAGCCTAGCAGGTCATTTTATTGGCTTAAGACTGAACATGCGGCCAAATTATTAGTCCTCTTGCTGACACTGTCTTGTGCGGCCGCAATCACCCGCTGCTCCACAAAATAATCTCCCGCCACGATCGATGTTTACGGCGACTATATGACCAACAACTGAGTCAGTAGCCTACATAAAAGATCCTATGTCGCTTGTCTCAACATCCTATTTTTAACTTTTACACACACATCTTTTCTCTGTGATTGACAAAAGCCAACCCTTACCATCAATTCATCAACTTGATCTCATCAGTTTACAACACAATGGCTCGTCAAGTCGAATTCTTCAGTAGGGGAATCAAGATCGCTGGAGATTTGTATCTCCCCGCTCCCTCAGCACCAGATCGCAAAGGTGCTGCCATTGTCATAGGGCACCCCTCAGGAGGAGTAAAAGAGCAGACCTCCGCTCTCCATGCGCAACGCCTTGCGGAAAATGGGTTTATCGCGCTCGCTTTCGATGCGGCTTATCAAGGAGCTAGCGAGGGAGAACCGCGGGGACTCGAGGATCCATTCCAAAGGTCTGAAGATGTTCGCAGCGCAGTTACCTTCCTGTCCACCTTCGAAGAGGTGGACAAAGCACGTATTGGTGCCTTGGGGATCTGTGCCTCTGGCGGCTATGTGCCTTTTGCAGCCCAGACCGATTTACGCATCAAGGCGGTCGCCACCGTGAGTGCGGTTGATCTTGGTGCTATGACTCGTGAGGGGCTCAAGAATACCCCATTTGAGCTTGACAGGGCGACTTTAGCGCAGACCTTAGAGGCTGCTGGAGCAAACAGAATTGCTGAGGCCAAGGGTGAAGAGGTTCAATGCAATCCGATTGTGCCTGATCTCCCCGAGGGGCCAGCTGCGGATGAACCCCTTAATGAGGCCACCGAATACTACCGCACTAAACGAGGCTTCCATCCGCGGTCCACAAACAGGTGCCCTGTCAGAAGCGCGGATCTGCTTGCCAATTTCTCGGCGTATAATTTCAACAACTTGATATCGCCACGGCCACTGCTGATGATTGCTGGAGGAGAAGCGCACACCTTATACTTCAGCAAGGAAGGAATTGAGCGCGCTGAGGAGCCAAAAGAGTTGTTCATTGTTCCTGGCCGAAGCCATATGGCTCTGTACGATCATTTGGATGAGCATATGCCCAAGCTTGTGGACTTCATGACAAATGCCCTTTGCAATTAAAGGCAGTCATATTGCAGATAAATGGGCTTTCCAGCAGCTTAAGGCCAGGGCTTCACGTCAGCCAGTTATTCATTGTATTTAGTCCGCCCATAGAGGAGCTTTTCTATCACAGCTTCACACAGTAGAGCCCCTCCCCCAAGTTTGGGAAAGAAATGAATACGCGATGGGTGAGGCGATCTCTTGTCACATTGTGGGCTGCAAGCTATCGTTGCAAAGGTTTGGATTATGCGATGAACAGGGATGTTGGTTTGTCCACGTCAGTCCTTTGAAAGCACAGCCTCCCAAATCTGGTCCCTTTCTGAATTGGTACATAACATTAGTGGTCTTGTGACTGGATATAATGTCTCAAGCATCCCATACTCTATGTGGTCTCCCAGCTCTTCTCGCTCAACGGATTTAACTATAAGTTTCTGGTCCACCATTCTCCTAGCCGCGGGACTATAATACAATACAGCAGATTGATAATTCTTCTAACATCTATGGACCATCTATTCCACCCAAGCGAGAGATATGACACTCTCTCAGTCCCGCTACTTTATCCGTGGTTCGGGTTCGACCATGATTCTACCGCAACATACCCTGTTGTGGCATTCAAGAGCTATCCAATTCTGCGCGGATGGTCCAGCTTACAGATAGAATCCCTCCGACGAGGTACCTTTGTTGACACCAATCTGGCTGCTGTCTTGGCTATGCTGCAAAGCTGGCTTTTTTTTTGGCGTTCTCAAATCAGCTCTCCAAGAGCACTTTCCAGTTCACCTATTTCTTGGGAACATCATAACTCCGGACGAATGGTCTGCTCACGACACTGCGTGGGCAGGATGGCGTCCTACAGCCCAGTCGCGACACCTAGGCACATCGTACTTGGAAATCCATCTCGAAAAATGGAGCGAAGGCTTATCCAGCGTCTCCGAAACGAAGAGAGAGATGCTATCCGAGTCTCTCTGTAACACCATAAATGCCGCTCAGGAATGGATAGCCTTTATAAGCTTTGAACTCGGGCGCCGTGAGGTCGAATTCAGCACGGGCGGGCAGTTTCAAGAGCCTTTCCTAACCGGCATTCGCTCATCGGTCTTGCTTCTTGAGTTTCTCAACCATTCATATGATGCTCAGTTAGAATCTTACACCACATGCAACGGCCGACTGGTATGTGATGTTGATCCGGATGGCAGAATAGAAAATAGTATACAAAAGCAAGGATGGTGTCCATCATTCAAAATGCTATTATCCCACTGGGGTCTGTCTGGCTTGATCTATGCATTGAGATTGGGACCCGCTGAGCTGCTACAATTCAGTCATACGGCTTGCTCGAGTGAGGTATGTCGGGCCTATGATATAGACGAATCGACATATCAGCCAGCTCATGGTTGTGAGAGTGAGAATTGTGAAACCATTTTACCGCTTATCAATCGGATATACCATGCCCTTTGGAAGGCCACATTTCCATTGATCATCGGGAAAGCTCTTCTTGCCAGTAGCCGCTCCGCTGAAGAAGCCGTCATCGTTCCATATCGTCCAGGATCCCCATTCGTTGCGATTTCTCATGTTTGGTTTGATGGGCACGGGTCTGTCTCTGAGAAAGGCCTGCCTCGCTGTCAAATAGAATTTTTAACCGGACTTACCATTTTGGCGCTGGGAGAACCCCCAAAAGACTTGCCGCAACTATTCTGGATCGACAGTCTTTGCATCCCCGAAAACCGCGAGCTCCGTTCTATGGCCATTCATCAAATGGCAAATATATACGGCAGTGCCACCAAAACACTTGTCCTAGACACAAGGCTCCGTTGCTGCAGCTACAAACAACCGGTATCAAATATTTGTTTTCGAATCATTACTTCAGTGTGGATGAGACGTCCCTGGACGCTACAAGAGGCCCTTCTCGCGGACAGTTTAGTGTTTTTTTTTTAAAAGATACGCTCCTTCCGATAAGTCATCTCATTTCCTGGTTCTTCGAATCCGCAACCAACTTCGGGCCAATTTCCCTAAACGCACTGACTATCTTGGGGGCGCTTCACGGCAGCAGTTGTGCTTCGAAGACGGCAAATCCAGCCCACGTTCTCAGCCTACTTCAATCACGAACCAGCAGCCGTCTTGATGATGAGACGCTCGCTATAGCTCCTTTGCTTCATGTGGATGTCAAGCGATTAACGCCATTTCGGGGCGAGGAAAGGATGCTTGCCTTCTGGGACTGCTTAGAGTCAGTACCACCCGGTATCTTATTTGGAGAGACAGAGGGGCTCGCCGCCAAGGGTCGTCGATGGGCTCCTAAGAGACTATCTGTGCTCTCCTCAAATATGTTAGGATCTCCACTTGCACACATAACTCCAGAGGGTCTGGCTGGTGAGTTCACATTGCTTGAACTCTTATATCGTCACCACCTGAAACCAATGACGCGCTATATACTATGTGATCGCTTTGCTCGAAAATCATTTTTCTTTTCGTTAGAAACCGATGAAATAGCGGAGCAGGGCGGCATTTCCTGTGATGCAATCGCTCTTCGGTACGACGTTCCCGGAGCCTACTCTAACCCAGGCTTATTGCTTATCAAGGACCTTGATGGCAGGCAGTCAAAAGAAGAGAGAGACTGTTTTGAAATTGGGGCAAGGCCTTCTATTTTCGGAAATCATTTTCACAGTCTTATAAAATGGGAAAGTCTCCGGGGGCCTAGCCAGATCAACGCCGCATTCAACATGATTATGGTCCGGATTGTGAAGAAGAAGGTCATCCTTACCTGAGCACTTTCCTTGAATTTTCCTGACTCTCCAACGGGTTCCACAAAGCAATCCTGAAACTTTGACAAGTGTCTCCCAGGCTGTTCTCCGCCGGCAATAATCAAGCATTTGCCCTTCAAAGTATAGTATAATTCAAAGAATAACCCCAGCAGGACGAGTTTCCGCATATTGATTTCCATTACTTTAATACCAGCTCGTCGATTTTTTTTTCATCTGAGAACGTATTTGACCTCACCGAACATAGATATGGTCAGCCGCAGCCGTTTCTCGGTGTATGAGACTTCTTCCCTCGTTCTCTCTAATAGAACATTGAATGTCCAAGTAGCTCAGCATTTTTGACCCTCTATGAAGCGCATCCTTTCGTCATGCAGCTATATACTACGAACCCGCAAGAACATGCAGTTGAATCCACTCGCTCCCAAACCACTTCCAGAAATCATGAGGTCCTCACTCTGAGAATTTACGCCAGGCAGGTGTCCATAACGACATCTTGGGCTGAACGATAGAGCTAGAAAAAGTATCACTTGTAGTAAGAGTCGCATACGAAGAACACTCATAACGTAATAGCGGAGAGACTATACGAAGGACAGTAAATTAACCAAAAACAGGGATAACGAAGATATGCCTGTCCCCTTTCGAGACACACTCAGTCTTCGATGGTTGTCTAGATGAGGTAAATCATCTCATGCTTCAATCTTTCCTCAACTTTACCAAACTGAATATTCACGGAACATCCAACTCGGCAAAAAACATTTGCATATCCACAGGGAGCCACGACCAGGAAGAACTTATACCATTCGCCACCTTTGTCAGGACAGCAATCGCCAATAAATACGAATTTGAAATAGCCTTTGTTCGTCCGGTTGTCCGGTAAGTTAAGAATCGCATCTCCAACGTTCTCGAGGGTTTGGAAACCGTCCTGTAACGCGACTATCCACGCTTCACCATCGATGTATGCGAATAACTCAACAGTCCGCGTGCTTATTACTAGGAGTTGTTGCTTGAGAGCAGTGGGGAGTGCGTCAATAATCAAGGGGCATGGAGGCTCGTTGTCTGGGAACAGCGATGACACACATTCATGTCCACTTCTCGATCGAAGAGCAATTAGTTCGAATTCAAAGCCCCGTGATATCGGAGACTTGGAGGGATAGAAAAACGTTGCTAGATACTCTGACGGCCTAAATCCCCATGTGCTCTCGTAGTCAAGACCAGATTCACCGGAAACATTCCATCCTTGCCACGACCAGCTTGGCAAAGATGAGCGGCGCCTCCCTTTTAAAATCGCAAAGCACAAAGCTTGCGCGAAGAGGTCCAGAGGCAAGTCGTGGTAATACTGCTGGCCCAGCCATGTTTCGAGCTTTTTCTTTGTCATACCAAAGCCCGAAGACAGATCATCTTCATTGGTCATGTGTCGATTCGCATACTCTGCCGAAAGTTCGGCATACTCGGCGAACCTTCCAGCCCAGTTTTTGTGGAATGACCAAAATTCATCAATTTGGGGACTGTCTGTGAAAATAACAGGCTTTAAGTCACTCAAAGGCACCTCATCATACGTATCTTCGGAATATATCCTTTCTCCGGCCCTGCAGCAAAAGAATGCCTGATCATCGGCAAGAATCAACATGTGGCGAGAAACTAGCCACTCCTCATATGTCCAACCACGTTGCCTCCAGCCAGAGTTACTCATGGCTTGGTCAATACGGTGTTTGGCAACAGCTAAGGACAGTTGGCCGACCTGGCGCGAAACCTGGCAACGCCAGGGCGAACAAGAAGACCTAACGCCCGGCAGGCCATAATGCGAATCGGGTCCGTTCGCCACAATAGTGAGACATGCGTTTGCGAAAATTCGACTAATAATATCTTTAACCGCTTTTTCATTCGCGTATCCGTCTCCTTTGCCTCGACACAATGCGTCAACCCATAGATATCTGATCCCCAGGCGACGACAGAGATCTATGGCATCTTGGATCGTCCTCGGGATCATATCCCATGCCTCATTTAGGCCTTGTGCCTTTGCGAGCCGCGGTTCGTTATCTTTGGTGAGCTGCAGCTGTGTTATGCTTTTGGGGCCCCACGTATAGCTCAGTGCCACATATTCGCAATCAGGTGGTGTTCGCCGAATCATCAGCCGTCTTGTATCTATAACTCGTGCCGGCCTTGCTGTCGCGTCTTGACTGTGAAAAGCATCCTCGAGTTTGCACTCTTTAAAGCAGGTACGAATCCAATTCTTGATCAAGGGAATGTTGAGATTCTTGCGCAACATTCTGCCATGAAGTAGCTGTTCCGAATCACCCTCCTCCTTCAACAACATGATATCACCTTCGTGTGACGTGGTATCTTCGTTATCGTATGCTCGTTCCTGGAGAAATCTTTCGTCTAGTATCTCGGGCGAAGATTCATACTGGGGGCTTGTCGAGACCCGGAGACGGTATGTTCGTTTGATTGAGAGACGTGGCACGCTTGCGGCAGACATTGAGTTTGGATTTGTACAAGAAAGTAAATTTAGCCATATATATCTTCCATGCAGTACTCGGGAATAATATATGGTCTTGTCGTGAGCGGGAAAGGGAAGATGATCCTTCTTCCGAAGTGCTGCGCAGATCAAATAGCACATAGGGCAAGCACTTGTACTCAAGATGTCGCCGAAGCGCCTCACAGCCAAGAATCCTGAATTCGGTCTCGATAGGGAGTCGCCTGATTGGGCTGGAGGGTCCCAAAATGAGGCCGACTCAAACGTACTGGAGCAATCCGGACATAATTCGCTGCGTTGGTCGTTCATGTCAGTGGTTAGGTTTATCTGACAGCCTACTGCGACTTTCTGTGAGAATACGAGACTGAAAATGCGCGAGCAATGAGCAATGGATGAAGCCGAGTATAAGGTGTTGAGGATGAGGCTTGAAGGAGGGGAGGAGGCTGTGCTTGAGGCTGTGCTTGCTCAGTGGCAGAACGTGAGATGCCTGACTTGGGCAGCATAAGACGAGCGAGCAGTCTCATTTCCAGCTGCAGGCAATCTCAAGCTCTTTGTTCCTCAGTTGAGTCAAGGCTTCATTTTTGGAATTCCGAGACAATTAGACCCTTCTAGAACCCCGGTTGAGCTAGAAGTTCAATGGCGTCACCCTAGTAAGCTTTCAGTGTTCTCCTCATTCACAGCGGCGATGTTGTCGGTCGTGCCTTGGCTCAATTCGCCGGCACTGGGATACTCTCGTCATTTTCTCATTTGGTATGGAAATTCTTCCGCGCTCCTGCGCTTTAAATTAATGATTATCCTCTAGGCTAGGTCGCCTACTCTGTCTCCGCACTTGACTCGGCCATAGGCGAGATTCGACTGATGCCACAGAGCCGAGACTGCAAGTGCAAGACGATAAACGGCAATACCGGATACTCTCGAGACAATAAGAGCTGGATATTGGGCACGATAATGTGGGTCTTTGAGAACTGGACTCATCCGGCTACAAAGAAGAAGGCTGAGGACATTCTGCAGCAAAAATGGCGCCGAATTGAAAGTAGCAAACCCAAGCATGAGCCGACCCTTGAATCACGTGAAACAAGAGAAAAGTTTTGCAAAGGCAAGACTTTTGTGAGTCTGGCGCCGAACATTTTCTCTCTTTATCGCACAAAATATTGCCCCAGAAACCCCAGATTGAAAGGCCTTTGGACATCCAAAGCAATGTGGCCGGCACAGGTAGGAACGGAGAACCTATAACACCGAGTACTTCGGAGTGCAGCATCTCCTTGATCAATATCCTCCAGATAACTCCACTTACAAGACGACAAGCCTTGCCGAAGTTATCCATCGAATATATAAAGACAAGCGGTTTGACAACCTGTTCCTCGAACAAGGGATGACCAATATCGAGGTTCTGCTGCAAAAACGGTATGAGGCCGTTCTAGAGCACTGGAACGCATGGCACGTGTCTGATTCTCTTGTCCAGCTGGAACACTGCTGTGATTTGTCAGTGCTTTTGGCACTCGGAACAGGCAATCGCGAGGCCAAGTATGACTTCTATCTGGACAGTCCGTGGTTTTATATATATCAAGAAATTATCACATTCCTATGTAAGTAGTCGACAGCCACGCGAGTTGGTATGTACACTTCGATTTATGGCTCATCGATATGGAAATATATTGCCCCCCTTGGCATGTCTTACAGAGCCTTTGCTTTGAAGTCATAGTGAGTAACAGGAATAGCTGCAGTCGGCATTTATTTTACCACCGAGACTGGCTCTGCCGGAGACATAGTCTGGCAAATTTTACAAGCTACAGGATATAAGCATTATCGCTTCAGGGTCTACTTGTTCTACTTGTCCAATATTGAATCATATTGCCTGCCAAGAATGAATCAATCCCTTGTAAAAGCGGAGATGTTCAACGTGGGGTACGGGGATTTAGATCAAAATTCAATGTTTAGTCGTGAACAGCCTCGTGTATGGAAGGAACTTGGGGTCTCCTAGTTCGCCTTAGAATGGATCTGGTTTTTGCACCAATGGAACGATCGAACAAGGAGATCTGCAGGGTCCGATCGTTACTGGTCGGTCCACATTAGACCGAGATAACCTCAAAAGTGGGTGACGGTGCGGATCCTTTGCGACTTCACCCCAGAATAATAACGTCTATTTCTAACATTGCATTTGGGGTTCACAAATTGTAGAAGGGATACACTGTCCGCTTCTATGTAGACCGTTCATTATCTAGGCGCCAAGACCAGCGAATTATCATGGCGTCCTCTAGCCTGTTGAAGACTATAATACTCTTACTTCTGACCCTTGCTGTGGGTGGAAATGGGTCGAGGATAAACCGGCGTGAGGTCGTCCGTCGCTTTAATCCCGTTCGTACCAACTTGTCCTCCACGACTCCCATCCAAGTGGGAAATGGCAATTTTGCCTTTGGAGCTGATATTACCGGTCTTCAGACCATTTTGCCGTACAACATTCTGTCCTCCTGGTGCTGGGCCAATGACTCTCTGCCTATCGAGCCGGGCCAGGATGATCCCTCCGACTTCACGGGACTGGACTGGTGGACTCATGGCAGACTGGTGAACTATGGTATGCCAAATCCGGCCGAAACAGCCCTCTCGACTTGGCTCAGGGCGAATCCCCATCGTGTTAACCTCGGACGGATCGGTTTTCTGTACAATGGCAAGAATATCTCACTGGCGGACTTGTCCAACATGTCACAGACCTTGGATCTCTATACTGGACGTTTGACATCTGAATTCGATCTTGGAGGGGAGAGGGTAGTTGTGCAGACCGTTGGAAGCCCGAGCTCGGACGAGGTTGCGGTGCGCTTGGATTCGCAGCTGGTGCAAGATGGGTCTTTGAGTGTCTTCTTCGACTATCCCCTGACTACCGGGGCAGCGTCATTTCAAGCGCCATTTGTCGGTAATTGGAATCTTGTATCGAACCATACAACGAGGCTTTCCGTCCATGGCCACCAGAAAGCCGTAATTGAACATTCTCTGGGAGGAACAACCTACTACAACAGCATTTCGTGGCTATCCCAAGGGAACATCAGCGGTCCGATTAACGGGACTCATCGATATGTTCTGAACCCATCCGGAAAGGCTACCTTTTCCTTCACTTCCACCTATACCCCGGAGCTGAGCGCCGAGGTCAGCACATTCAACAGGGTAAAAGCTGAATCAGCGACCTGGTGGTCCAAGTACTGGGAATCAGGATCGTTCGTCGATTTCACGGCCACCGGAAGCTCAGACACCGAAGAACTGCAGCGGCGCATCATTCTCTCGCAGTATCTCCTCGCTGTCAATTGCGCGGGGAGGGACCCTCCGCAAGAAGCAGGACTGCAAAACAACGGATGGTACGGAAAGTTCCATCTTGAGATGATCTTTTGGCATCTAGGCCACTGGGCCCGATGGGGTAAGTGGGAGCTCCTCAACCGCAGTCTCGGAGTATACTATCGCTTTCTTCCCTCGTCCATCGAGCGCGCCAAAGAACAGGGGTACTCAGGCGCTCGACTGGGTAAGATGAGCGATCCATCCGGTCGATCCGCCCCCGGAGAGATCAACGCGCTGTTGATCTGGCAGCAACCGCACGCGATATATTTCGCCGAGCTGGAGTATCGCGCCTTTCCCACGGCTCAGACGCTCAGGAAATGGGACACCGTCCTCACGGAACTCGCCGAGTTCATGGCCTCGTACGCGTGGTGGAATAGCTCGACGCAGGTGTACGACCTAGGTCCGCCAATGTACCCATCGTCGGAGAACACTAACCCGAATTCAACGTATAATCCCGCCTTCGAATTGGCTTACTGGCGTTTCGGTCTGCAAATTGCCTCGGAGTGGAAGCGTCGACAAGCTCAACCTGTTCCATCTAAGTGGACACACGTTCAATATCACCTGGCCGCTCTGCCCACGACAGATGGAGCGTACGCCATTTGTGCAGATCTCCCGGATATGTGGACCACCTACGATTACATTTCTGACCATCCTAGCCAGGTTGCCGTGTATGGCCTTCTCCCTCCCACGCCTGGTGTAGATATCGGGATCGTCAACGCGACGATGATGAAGATCAACCAGGTTTGGAACTTGACCAACTCATACGGTTGGGATTTCCCCATGCTGGCTCTAACGGCTACCCGTCTGGGGAACCCGCAGCCGGCCGTGGACTATCTTCTCGACCCCGTCTTTCAATTTGATGACGTCGGCAATCCCATTGGCGGTACGCGGGTGCCCACTCCATACTTCCCTGCCTCGTCTTCCTTGCTTCTTGCAGTTGCGATGATGGCGGGGGGATGGGACGGCGATGAGGGTCCGCATTTTCCAAATGGTTGGAATGCAAAGACAGAAGGTTTTACTCCTGGTCTTTGATGGAGACTTATAGATCAGGTATCTTACGCAGGGGCACAAGTTTCCCTACTCTCTGTATGAGTTTCTCCCGGTAGGTACTCCTTCGAAGTCCGTCTCATGCTCGGTAGGAAATATTAATGATGGTGTAGTACGTTGACACTCTTTTTCACGACCTCGGGTTGAACAGCCGTCGCAAGACCAATAAAGTGGCTGAGCTTCTGGAGCCTTATAAGCCGGAGGATTTCAATGGGTTTATTGATGAATATCTCGCAAGACATGGTGGCATAAAATCCGCTCCTGCAAATGGCCATAAATCTTAGTCTGTAGCAGTGGGAGGATAAGTTCTGTAGCCCGCGAAATTGACTATATGTGATATATATATATATATATATATGTACATGTCTCTGTCTATAAAGATGAAGTTGTACACACCCGCAGGCATAAGAACCTTAAAACCTGGTACTGGCTTGTAGTTATCTGTTGTTAAATATTCTATATCAACGATTTCTTTCATTGGAGACCAGCCATTAAGTGACTAACTCTCATTCTCTAACCGAACCGTGCGTCCATGATAGTTGTGCTTCTATCCGATACGTATCTCAGCATGTGCCATCACCTAACGGACACTGTAATCCAAGCCGTCACCGTCAATGCAGTGAATGCAATCGTTTTCGAGAACTTTATATTTATACTTCGTACTAAGTTCCTCAAGCTAAACCTCATAGATTACTACCGCGCCTTAAATGCCACAAGATTTCTTGGACGCAGCTTCATGTCAGGTATTACTACATGCTGAAGCAAAATAGGTGAGCTATACAACGGGCAATGGTGGTTGCAGATAAACTATTTATAACCTCAAGTTGAGATCAAGAGACGTTCTTTTGCCATTGCCACCTGTAACGTCTCGGTGGACTCAGGCCGAGCCTACAACGGCCGCTGCATGGAGTTAAGACTTGCAAACCGTGTTCTAATACTCAGATTGAATACTGGGTACCTCGCCTTTTGCTCCAGTTCAAGAAATAAGCAAAGGGAACGAGTGACTGTCGAGATATGGGCTAATATCCGTATTTCATCACCGCTGAACATGACTGTGCTCGGGATACTATTTCTTTCGGACCGAGCTCTGACCGAGTCCTTATTCTACTTCCAGACATATCATCGCTTTCATTGGTGACGATTAAGATTTATACCGGCTCGGCCCGAAGTTGTCTCTTCATTGGCAGAGAACTCATCCATGTACTGCCTATGCCTAGATTGTCACTGGAAACGTGACTCAAGAAATACTCGGGCGACAAATAAGCCCCCGTCTGCCCTGGGAGTTGTACCATTTCAGGGTCAGCGGTCAGAAGCCGAACACACGACTGCGAGATGATATCCAACTTCCGTGTCATCATTGTAGGCGGCGGCGTGGCCGGGCTTACAGCTTCCCATGCCCTCCAGAAGGCAGGAATCGATCATGTTGTGCTTGAAAGATCAAAAGAAGTGGCTCCCCCAGTTGGGGCCAGTATTGCCATCTACCCGCAGGGAGCACGCATTTTATCCCAGATCGGGTGCCTTGAGACGGCGAAGGCGGCCTGTCGCCCCTGCGAGCGATTCATCACCAGGGGACCCGATGGAAAGGTCTGGATCAATAGTGACTTTTTCAGGAATGTTCAAGCCAAGTATGTTATGCCTTCTCTTTAAATTCAGGGAGTATACCTCGACATAGTGGTGCTGACACGCTTGACAGCCATGGACAGGACATTCTCCTCCTCGAAAGGAGGGAATTCTTGCAAATTCTGTACGATTGCCTCCCCAACAAGTCTTTCATTAAACTCGGATGCAGAGTCCGTGATGTGACTCAGGATAGCAACGGGGTCGAAGTGATCCTCGACGACGGGACGGTCGAACGAGGCGACATGGTGCTGGGCTGCGACGGCGTGCACAGCCTGGTTAAACAGAGAATGTGGGACCTGGCCAACCAGAAGATCCCGCGGGTTATCACGGCGCAGGAGAAGACCTCGATGGTCCCAGGTGGAAATGTCTAGTGGGAATGGGGCCAGCAGCACCGGAACTGGGCGAAAGAGACATGACGGTGGTGCGTGACGACAGGTATTCGTTTCTGTTCCTCACGCAGCCGGACAAGCTGTTCTTCTTCGTGTTCTTCCGACTGGAACACGAGTTCCGCTGGCCAGAACGGAGACGATATACCGATGCAGATGCCGAAGCATTGGCCGCTAGTGTTGCTAGCCATCCCATCTGCGAATCGCTCGTGTTTGGGGAGATTTGGCAGAAGCGGATCCGGGGCTCTCTGATCTCCCTCGAAGAGGGGATATTACAGCACTGGTCGCATGGACGGATCGTGTTGGCTGGCGATTCTGTCCACAAAGTCACGCCAAACATCGCGCTTGGGGGAAACTCCACAATGGAATCCGTGGTGGTGTTGTGCAACCATCTTGAACGGACGGTGGCAGCTCACCACGGTGGCCGAGTCAGCCGGGCTACGCTGGGGAGGGTCTTTGACCAGTATCGGCGAGACCGAGAGAAGCGGGTGCACGAGATAATGGAACTGTCTTCGCTGATCACCAGAGTCCAGGCATGGGGTGGGATCCTGCCAAAGGTCCTGGCCTGTTGGGTGCTCCCCTTTCAAGCCGATCACAAACTGACGGATCAATTGGGCGAACTGATCAGAATGGCACCGAAGTTGGATTATGTCGAAGTGGATCAGGAATTTGGACGAGGCCGGCTGGCGTGGGAGGACGAGAAAGACAGTCGTTCCCTTGACAAAGTAAAGAAGATGGCTTTTGTCAGCAGATTGACAGTGTATTTGGCAAGATGTTTGACAGCATTGTTCTTGGCTTATAGTCTGTCTATTTAGTTATATAATTTACTAACAAGCAGAAGGCAAGGTACCCAATTGTGATATAGCTTGAGCATACTGTAGTAGTAAAGTCCAAGGTGCAAAGCCTTAGACTTGCGATTATTATATAGTTCCACGTATAACTAGGACAGATACCCGCAGAAGAGGTCAGACTAGAAGTAAGGACCTACGTCTCGACTCAATCAATTTCGTATCCAAGTTCGACTTCTTCTACATCACTAGTAGGAAAACTCCTGCCCAACCAGCTTCTCACTCAGTCTCCATAGTCTTTCGGCTTCAAAACTACTGGTGGCCCATGGTTTGACCGTGTCTACCAGAGGATCGGCCACATGGCAGTCGAGCAGGTAGGCCCCGTTGTTGGCTACCGAACGGTCAGTCGCTGTAACACAATGCGATCCTTACAGGAGACATACCCTTGAGACTTGGGTCAAATGCTGCGTAGATATGGGTGGCGGCACCTCTCTCCAGTGGCTTGGCATCAAAATCCTTCCATCCTTCCCGATTACCCAGAGACTTGTCCGCGTTGCCTAGCGAGAGTCAGTAAAGGCTAATCTGTGCGAGAAATAAGTGGAATCATCGTCTTACGTAGTTCCCCAAACTCAACATTCCAATCCAAATGATTGCCCAGATTGGTCCAGATGACTCCTGGGTGGAGGCTGAATGCCTGGAGATTATATTTTATTCCGAGTTTCTGAGCCAGAGAAATAGCCAACAGCATATTAGCGGTCTTGCTCTGACCATAGGCGTACCACCGGTTGTACGTCTTCCCATCCTGTGTCGTCTTTGTTAGTGTTCCAGACGTTCGTGGTGGATATCTAGCAGTCATGGAACGACCTACATCAAAATTATAGTCATCGAACCGGAACGGGTTCAACCGATGGCCATCGCTACTGACAACAACGATTCTTGGTTCCTTTGCGGCCACAATCTTCTTGATGATCAGATTGGTGAACAAGAACGGCCCCAGATGGTTCGTTGCCAGATGGGACTCGAATCCGTCAGGGGAGAGCTTGTAATCCACTGCCATAATTCCCGCGTTGTTGACAAGGACATCAATAACAGGGATATCATCCCAGGAGTTGACCTGTGCGGCTGCATCCCGCACGCTTTTCAAGGAGTCCAAGTCAAGTTGCAGTGTACGGACCTTCACCTCAGGCTGGGCCTTAGTGATCTCGGCTGCCATCTGGGCCAGTTTATCGGCATTGCGAGCGGCCAGGATAAGCCACTCAGGCTTAGCCTTGGCAATGGATTGGACGAAGAAGCCACCAAGGGAGCCTGAGGAAACGCCCGTGGTCAGAATGACCTTACCTTTGATAAGGGGGGCGTAATCAGTCACAAGTTCGTCCGTGGTGGTATGAGTACTGTAGGGGGCCGGCATGATGAGGGTAATAACGAGTATGACAGTGGATACAATACAAGAGAAATCATTGTGAGGGCTGAGGAAACGTGCTCGTTGAGCTCTTCAAGGGGAGTAGTATATATGTCTGGAGATTCTTTGTCCCCGGTGAAAATGCGTACAGATACAATGACCAATATCCAGACCGCTGTTACGTCCCAATACCTCTCAGGATGAGTAAGACGGTGATGTATGTGGCGCCTTCCCTGGTGCTTCGTAGCTGCATAACTAGGGCGTTATTTTAGTCTCGGTGAGGATTCCCCGACGCTCCTTGTTTCCAGGATGTAGAAACCTTGGGAGAAGGAAGCTTCTAGTACTCCTTGACAGGGATGCATGCTGGTTTTCATTCGTCTTGCACGAGTCACGCCGCGGGAGCCTGCTGAGGTATTTCCGCAATAGGTTAGCCAGCATGCTTTAGCACCTGCCTATGGAGAACCATCGAGAATGTTAACGGCAATTGCCTATTAGCAGCCTACCATCTTATTGTACATGCTCTGGCTATATTCTATTATTGCAAAATGATCTGACTATCCGGTCTAGAATACCGTGCTTCTTTCCACCTGCAGCCCATCAAGTCACACATCCACCTCGGCCCGGATGGCCCGAATCTATTGTCTTAGGCCCTCCACTGCTCCCTCCGGACCCCCACTTACTCTTCTTTCTGGCTTCCTTCTGCTGATGGCATCAACAGCTCATCTCGGATCCAGTTGAGGCCCAGGCACACGCTCCCTGGTCCTGCGATCATTGCCCCACCAACAATCCCCAACAGGACCTTTGGCCATGGCCATTTCCGATACCAACCATACCAACCTCGGGCAATGAGAACAGTCTGTAGCTGTAACCAGGCAACTAGGATACCCAAAGTATATCCAAAGAATTGATCCCAGAGGAAGAAACTGTGCACCCCGTCCCCAACTGTTTGCGTCGCCGTAACAGAGACCGGTGGGATCAGCAGCTAAACCGGGTGGAACTCATGGATAGTCTCGGGCGTCCAGAGGTTTGGGAACAGAATCGTAGTGATGCTGATACTCATGAGACCCACATGAACGACAAAACTGATCAAGAGTGATGTCGCGTTCAGAATGCGGATTGCGGACCTCCTAGTAGCATCTTCCTTATTCACCGTGCCAGCAGGTAGGAGCACGTGAAGGACCTATGTACAGTCCGTCATGCGCAAATAATTCAGATCCACCTCAAAGTCTAATTAATATCGCTTTTGAAGACCCACTTTCCACTAAGAATCCGCTGATCTTTTGGGGGATCAACAAGCTCCCATGTTTTGTTCTGGTTGAGCGAGTTCACTTCGTCAAGCATAGCTCTTTCCCATTCTTAAACCAGCTTGCGTCGTCCTTCACTTGTTGAAGAGTCTTTGGCTCAAATGGTTCCGATTCCTCTGCAGCCAACGTTAAGAATGTTAGGACAATATTCCCTTCAGGTATATTTTTTATCGCGAGCTCTTCTTCGACTTCGTTCTCATCAGACACATCTTGTGTGGCCTGCGGAAAAGGAATTTTTGAATTCAGAATGGTGTTCTAGTGCTTCTTGTCGCCCTGCATGAGAGTCGTCTTGTTGCTGGTCGCCGCCACGTGGCGAGTCATTCTCTTGGGTAATATCTTGCAGATCATCTGGAAATGGTCTAAAGGTATCATCGCTCCGTGTGGGCGACAAGGTCCTGTCTCCCTGTACAGCAACAGGTGGCTATGAGTCATCGTCACTCGACTGGGTTAGCACTCGCGAGTTATCGTTACTCGATTGAGGCAGTATGTGCGAGATATCGGTCCTCGACTTAGGTGACGCTCGCTCTGGTGGTACCATCGACAATTGGTGCCCAGAGGCGGGTATGGATGCTTGCTGTATACCTACTGACGGTTGATTTATTAGTCCCACCGTCTTCCTCCCCCTTGCGGCAGCAGCCGTTGCCTCAGGTGAGCCGTCTCGTCTGGCTCCCGCATCTATAGTCTGTGCGGAAGGATCTGTAAGGACTTTGTGAAATTCAGTGTTTGGGGTCCCAATGATTCTTCCGTCTTCTAGCAGGATACGGTATTATATATTCCAACAATAGTCAAGCAGGGGCATGCTATTAAGTTTCTTAGTACTTCTTATTTACACGATGTCGCCCAGAGATTAATCGCTTAGGGACAGGAAAGCACGGAAATAATTTGACAGGAGCCTCTTGATTCTGCTCTTACCATAGATGAACAGCTCAAGTCTCTTTCTTAGGCAATTCTTAATAGTTCTGCCGGTATGACACAAGGGAGTGGATGAGCCATTTGGGAATTGATCGGTACGACCAGGCTCCACTCCCATTTCAGTATGTTCCATGGCTGGTATCCAACGGAAATAATCTAATACCTGGTTAAGTTAGACGGTTTTACTATTATTAGAGCTTCTTGGGACATACCCGATTATCTTAGCCGCACACTGTAATTTACATCAGTGTCCCTGACGGGCAAAGGCGGGTGTTTCTCATTGTCACTATAAAAGGCACCGCTTCGGTCATTTTCTGATGTATTACAACAACTACCTAAGGTACTGTACCTACCTGGAAAATTACCTGCTGACTAGCTTTGAGAACCATTACATCATATCATGGACTTTGTCTGGTAAAAAAAAAGGAAAATAGTGAAAATGATTACCGGGGAAGAATACAGCAAATGAATTATCTACTGTATGTCGCAGGCTAGAAGCCGGTTCAGCCTATAACCTAGGTTTAGACGGTAAGAAATTGCAGGAGGGGCCTAACTGCGTGTACCACAGCAAAGCCTTCCTACCAGCTCTGCCGCGGAGCGCGATGAGGGAGTTCACACGGATGTCGGTATAAGCCAACAGCAACGGACCATCAGGCTTTCCTGTGCCACACTGTCCACCAGAACGGGTCAGGTTTTTGCGCACTTTGATCGGGGGCGTACTGCGTTATGGTGGGCGGCCTTTGCGAGGTGAACTGCCGTTGTGGGACGGTTGCTGTCGGGAGAGCATGTCCTGGTCAATGCAAAGGACGACGAGGGGATAGATGCCCTTAATGCTACGCATCAACAGTATCGTTTTGACATTGTCAGACTCCTATGGGCTCACAGGCCTGGGAATCATTCAGGTAGCGATGGCTTTCGCCATCCCACTACCAGGAATTCATGGTGTTGCCTCCAGCTGATTTATGGGCTGTTCCGTTTCGTGAACAGCATACAATTTTCAGTATATACTGATGTGGCGACAAAGACCTGGCTGGGGTCTGTCTGTTCAGTCAAGGTTTCGGAGACGAATATGTGTCTTCCTCAATCTGTTATAATTACCAGAATCCAACTAAAAGGTGCGAAGGCTCTACTCTACCTATGCTCTAGCCGACGGTTGATGTTGGTCAACAATGAATGTCAGGGAAACCAGGATGACAGGGAACACGGGAAAGATGGAAGATGCAGTGCAGACATGTGGGAGCTAGAGGAGAAAAGAGCGGTAAATAATGCTGTCGATAATCGTTGAGCTAGTGTGGCGACGGACAAAAAGGGGTGATGAGGCCAGAAAAGCTGCCAAGGTGAGAAACCTATGATCGAAAGAGCAGCTCAGTGATGTAGATAACTTCAATAGGAAAAAGTTCTATAGTACTTACTAAGTTTGAAACTTTCTTCACCTGCAGCAGTAGATTTTAAAGCCTAGTATATTTAAATAAAGGGTAATAAGAATCTTAGGATATACAGTTGTGCCCAATCACTCTTGATTGGAGTTCACACAGCTAGTATTTTAACTAGTTACTTTCAAGTTGAAACCTTTTTGCACCATTCAAATGTTTCTAGCAGCTGTGCAAAAGGAGGGAGTTGTCTGCTGAGGCGTTATTTGGGGGATTGATAGTGTACCAGCCGAAGTTCATCGGCCCGATCACTTCTGAGTGGTATTGCATGCAGAGCAGTCGGAGGACTTTTGACACATCGAAATGACATAGTTTGACTTCCAAAATGGTCCCGCAAACATTATAATCTGACAATTGCTAGGCTGATCGGAAATCATCTTTCGTTCTGCGAAACGAGGACTCATGTCGGGAAGCCCGAACCTGCCGCACTCTAGAGGCGTCTAGTGAATGATTGGTGACAGCAAGTCGCTGCGAGTATCACTGGTTAGTCCACGGTTCGGGCTGTGCCAGGGGTGACCAAGGAGTGTATGGAAATGGTCTGAGAGGCAGAATCACCGCTGTGGTTAGCTGCAAGGCACGGCCATATCGGAGTGGTTCAACGGCTGCTGGAGTGGCAAAATATTGATATTAACCAAGGATCGGGTGGGTACCTGCCACCTCTCTTGGCTGCCATCATTGCAAGTCACACAGATGTAGCCATGCGGCTGCTCACATAGAGCATCCATGATGACGACGGCGATACTATAAAGTCCTTTGTGCGCGAGTATCGTGCAAAGCCATGATTCTGCCATATCTCCACCGCAGCAATTGGAACTGACAGTCGGTCAATTTTGGTTTGAGGGGGAAGAGGATGAAGTGAAGGATATACCAAGTGGGTAGATACCTCACAGCGTTATAAAGACATACCCCTGTCGCTTTAGAACTGTGCCTGACAATCCTAATATATGAGTCGGACGGTCCCAATTGTTGTTCTTGTTTTCGGCTGTGGCGATCTAGGCAGAGATGCCCGCCCCACAGTAGAGTTGAGTCAATCGGTCGACATGGTAAGGGCCGCGCTGGTCGTACAGTTGATAAATGCCCAGCCAGACATCTCGACATGTCCTTATTATTTCGGCTTGCAGTTTAATTGAAACAACGACCAGGAAAACTTTGGTTGACCTGGAGGTGTATACCTAGCTGGATAAGCGATATCGTCGACTGGACCGTATTGCCCCAGAATGCACAATTTACACAGTATTGAATCCGAATTCATATACCTAGGTAGAAACCGACATAGGTCTAAAGTATACTAGAAGCCAGTCCGCATATCTACCTGGACAAAGTCATCGTCCACAAGAAAGAGATCATCTAAACTAGGATTCGTCTCCATAAAGGGTGCCAGAGAGAAGATATCAGCCAGGGGATCCAGCGTCGTCGTGACATTGCTGTGATGGGCATCTTGGGGGAGGTAAGGGCTCTCTTCCATAACCGATGATGAACCCCCAGCAGAGCAGCCTCTGTCCACCGACTGCGTCTCACGGACATAACGCGCCTTGGCCATCAACCGCCCGATCGGCTTCCACAACGCACCCTTGCGCCCGTGCTCCTTCATGCGCCAGCGGTCATAGACAAACTCCGCTGCTGCCCACGCCCTGTCGCAATCCCGGCTAGGGGGCCGAGTACAGATCTCTGAGAGGACCAGCGCGACTGCGTGCCACTGGCGGTAGGTGTCGGATCTCCAGGCCCAGTGAGCGATATCCGGATTGCACAGGGCGGAGCAATGGAGCTCCAGGATCTCGATGGCGAGCAGAAAAACCTTTTCTGGCAGACTTCCCTGCAGTGGGGCCGTTGATGCTTCCTTACCACTATCCATCCGCTTGCGAGGATAGTGGACCATCAGCCATACGCGGGCCATGATCAGCCGCGCTACGGTAGCTGAGGCAAAGAGGAAGGGGTTGGCGGGATTGCAATACGGCAGATATCGAGTCTCAAGGCGGCTCTGGAGCTGCTCGGCCAGTGCCTCCCGCTCGGGCAATGACAACTCGGTGACTGGTGTACTGCTGGTTGTCTTTGCCTGACGGCGGTGCGGTGGAATGAAGCTGACCTTGCGCGCGATGGGAATGGATTCCCACCCAATCAGGCTCAGTGTCATCTCTGTGGCGCCCTCTCGCTCGGTCGGCGGCTGAATCAGGTCCGCGCTCAGATCAGAATCATTGATATTCAACGGCAGCCGGGTATCAAAGGACGACTCGGATACAATAGGTTCGTAACCGTGATGTTCGGACGAGCGCTGGTCGAGGCCGACGAGGAACCACCACAGTCGCCGTCGCAGTTCGGTCTCGAGGGGCCGTAAGCCAAAGGCCGCACCATCGCGATGGAGACCCATAGCTTGGGCAATATGCACAATCAAGGCCGTCAGCGACCAGACAGTTCGGGAGTCATCTTCGTTGTGCAGGGCACAAAGAAACAAGGCCGCCGCCTGCAACAAGATCATGTTCTGGGTATTCAGCAGATCGGCGCGGGCGAGGGCCTGTTCGACAGCAAAACGATACGTATGAAGGGCCTGGTGTCGCGGTAGGCCAAGAGGGCACTGGTTCTGGTCAGTACTGATAATAGCAGCATAGTATATGGCAAACAAGAGGGCCTCCGTGTTGCAATCGAGGGCGTCAGGCGAGGCGACCGTGTCCCAGAAGAGCTTCGTCAGGCTCGGCATGTGGAAGATCTTCACCACGGGAGCGACATTGGTCTGGAAAATATTAAACAGAGCGATCGATTGAGAGATGGACGGATGGTAGTCTCGCAGTGAGTGAGCGAGAGACCTGAAGCCCATGATGGTGGCATTCAACCCGATTGTGCCGACTGGTTCTTCCTTGTCATCTGTTTCTTCCTGCCAACCTCCTTCCTCGTCGTCATCATTATTTGAGGGCGATACATGAAGCAAATCTCGCAGTTCTTCAATCTATCATCTTTGGTCAGGCTATCAAAGTGTAAACTTAAGGGTTAAAGAGAAGACCTCATCGCCCAAACTAGCCCATAGCACGTTGCTCACATAGACACTGGAGGTGCTGTTAATGGCGAGACGACCATTCCGCTGGTCCACTTGGGGCGGCACAGCGGCAGTGGACGGGTCCAGGGGCTGTCGTTGCGGGGTTTGTTGGCTTTCCAGCTGTCTAATGATGCTCTCCAGCCGATCAAGTCTTGTCAGAACCGCCGAGTTGTTCGTGGATTGCTGCGGCCGCTTGGGGGCGCGCCCAGTCCCACTGGGATAAACGCAGGCGGAGGCAGCCCGAATGCAGCCCCCACATGGTTGCTGTCGGTCGCATTTGACCTTTCGTGAGCGACAGAGCAGGCAGCTGCGGCGCTGGAGATAGTGTTTTAGGGTGAATGGTTCACTCATGGCTGCTGGGCAGAGAGAAGCTAAGGAGCAACCAATGGGTCACTACCTGATGTTTTGATAATAAGGATAAAAAGGAAAGAGAAGTGGAGGGAGAGTCCACTGGTGAAATCGGCGGGTCGGCGTCGGATAACTTATGCGACTCCGATGTGCCACCCCGCTAATCTCGAAACATGCAAGATGCTTTTACTCCGTCCAGAGGGATTTACTACAGTAAGAATGTCATCCATTTTAGGGCCTCTTGGCTCCAAGCTAATCAATTCCAATAAACCGCCCCCTCTCTTTTTGGTCTAGACCGCTATCTGGTCTGACGATCCTGGGGCCACACTCCAGGGCTATGCAATCCTTGACGTAGCCCTGGGAGCCGCTTTCCCCTCTCCCAAATCTCGATGGAGCAACTAGACTCTATAGATAAAATCAAGGCCCACCAAAGCAATGCGGGGCCAGAGTGAAGAATAATCCGCTCCCAAGTAGTAAAATGCCTCAGAAGTTCTGCAGGCGGTTAAAGTCAGCAGGATGATAAGTAATGAGCGCACTGCCTTCTGGGTTTGCTGACCAGCGCTGCGACTGACATGATGGCAAATTCGACCCCGGTGCGCGTCCCGATCTCTTTGACGTCAGAGATCTCCGCAATAATGGCGGACAGCAATGAGACAAACGCTCCGAATCCAAAGCCACACAGGGCTGCAAAGACAATCGTGGCCGCGTTGCCCCGAGCGGGAATCCACGGTCCCAGACCCAACGTGCCTGAGAAGATACTCATGAGGATCTGCACATTGATTCTGCCGCGAGCCAGCCGGACAGGAGACGGTAATCAACGAGAAGAATTAATCATGAGATAATTTTTTCTCTCCAAGCAAAATAGTTTCGACATGATTCATGGTTCCCTCGTACTTCGTAATCTGGCAGCTCACGAGTCAATGTCGGCATAGTAGACGTCCCACGAAAACCAATCAAAGACGCGATCCGATGTCGGTCTGCGGATTGGAAATTCCGTTAGATTGCTTCCCTCACCTAGACCAGAGTGATGATCAGTGGCATCTTGCATCTCGACTTCCAGCATCCGACATGTAGCGTCCATGTCTCCTGGTAGCCATTCTAGGTAACTGGTGATATCAAGTTGCCCCAGACCAGCATCAGTCGAACCCTCGCAGGCCTGTGTGGCAGGCCCATCAAGTCTTGAGGTATTGATTCGTTTTGATGAGCGAGTCGCTTTGCTGCCGGGTTTTGTTGAGGTTTTATTGCGAACATGAGCTTGAGCCAGCTGGAGAAAAATAGCCGCGGTGTGTCGCAACTTGGAGCAGACACTAGCCAGCAGGCGCATTTGGGCTCGCATGTCGGTAAAGTAGGTTACCGTTGTTGCCAATAAACAGAGATCCTGCTCAATTGTCGGTCCCTGGCTGTCAGGACGGACGACGTTCTCGAATATCACGAAGAAAGGGGTAAACACATAATACAGAAGCTGCCTGTCTCAATCAGTTAGCCACCTTGGTCGGCGGACGCCAGTAAAAGGAGGAAATGTTTTCAGACCAGATTAATCCGTTGTATACTGAGCCCCAGTTCGACACCAGAGATGGTAGAAGAGAAATCGCTTCGCGGGCGCATGCCAGAAGAGTATCGGAGGACTGCCCATCTTCCTTCAGCAAGAGAACGAGAATGTGCAGGTATTGGAATCTCATGCTGTTGATTCCCAGATTCATTTCCCGGATTTGTCTAGCATCGGTCGAAGTACTTTCGATACTTATGGATTCCGATAATAGCTGGCCAGGGCAGACCGCAGAAGTCAGCTTTCACGTATTCCGAATATGCCCCATTTAGTTCAAAGGCTCACCTTGTTTGTTTGCAGAAACCAGGCGTTTAGTTTCGACTGTATGTCACTCTTTGTTATTGATGACTTGCCCGTAGCCAGGATTTCCAAGACATATCCTGTTAATTTAGCCAACTCAACAGATCTTTTGAAAACCAGCACGCCGAAATTATTGACTTGCGGATGGTGCTGTCGGTTTCTGTGCTCTGCCGCATAATGAGGCTGAAATTTCAACATGAACTGGTCATCTGGCAGCGGCACATGGCGGTATAGTGATATGGACAGAAAGGCCGGCCGGCCAAATGCCAGGGCACAAGACTTGTCTAGTATAAATAGCATCCAAAAGAGACATAGACGGTGCTGTGATAATTCAGGCGTGGCTTCGCGAGTGGACATATGCAGCCCCAGAGCTTCAGCCTGGCGACATGCATGGCCTAGTAGCATCCAAGATATATTCGGTGCAGCAAAGTCTTCGCCATGAATAGCTAGCAAAGCCAGAACCTGCACATGAGAGACATGTGGCACAAGAAAAATGCTACTGTCTTTGAGTGCCAGGTGTGTGTTACGTCGGAACTTTTCCTCATCTTGATAATTCTCAGCAGAGACGGCGGCCAGTAGCAGGTAATTGAAATAGACGACCCATGCCTTCTCCTGGACGTTCTGAGGCTCGAAAACGACCTGCTTCAAGATATCATCGGGTGGGAGGCGAAAAAATGGCTCACCGAGCTCAGCACATTCCAAGAACTCTAGTTAGTTGAGATCAAGAAGTTAGTCGGAGCATACAAGCCAACAAACAGGTATATGGGACTTGAGAATAACTCCTTACTGCTAATTAGGCCATAGCCTGCCGCTCTTGATGGCACGTAGAAGGTCGACAAGTCTTCCGTGGAATTCTTGACGTGTGCTGTGGTCAGCCTAGACGAAAGATGCCCAAGCTCCGAAATGGCGTTCTGGAGAGTAGCGTCATGTGGCGGTTGGCGAATTGTCTTCATGCTAGAGGCTGTCTCTTCAAGGAAAGAGAAAGAATGTGAAGGGCCAATATACAGTTGCGCGGTAGGCCGGTTATTGCCAGTCGCCATGGGACAATTGTTCGGATCCGGTCCTCGAGTCTCATCCCTGCTTGAGGATGCTGCAGATAAGGTCTGCAAGGCTTGATCAATGGAGCTGCTCAAAGAACGGACTGTCTGCTCGAGACGCTGGAGCCGATCCTCGATGTTTCTCTCCGGCTTCGAGCTCCTTGATCTGAATGTGTCAAGGCTCCCTGGGTTGGAAAAAGGCACATCCCGCGAATATACACAGCTACCTGGCCATGGCTTGCAGTTGCTGCATTTGGGCAACTCTCGGGAGCATCTTCGAAACCGTCAGCAAAGCCCAAAATGGTTGGATAATTGAATAAATACTTGAGTTTCTTCTGTCGACAAAAGTCACACTATTTTGTTAGCTGTCATAACTGTCCCTCACATCGTCGGGCGTCACCTACCGCAAATCGAGCAACGCTGGGGCCTTGAGGTAGAATACCACGGACTTCCATGGAGCTTCATTCCAAGTATATCATTCAACAATGTCGTGTTACAGTAGTATCAGAGTGCACTGAAGTTGGAAAAAAGAAGAATACATTACGGGTGGCGGATGGTCCGAGACGCAAGTTGCTGAGTCGCTGGTGTCGGAGGGTCTCCGGACTCAGCCAATCGGAGTTGTCGAAGCCGGCCTTGAATGCCAGAACATTTATATGTGCCTATGTATGAGTGGAAAAGTCGTCCCTTCTATATAAAGACATCAACATGTCCCGAATAAAGCTGTTCCGTACCTTTCTTTTATCATATCTTCTCCCTCACCCAGAGAACTTCAAGTACACCAAACCATGGATTCATCTCCATCCATCGCAATAATTGGTGCCGGGCCAAGCGGTCTTGTCTTCGCACGACTGCTACAAGTGCATGGAATCACAGATTACGTCGTCTTCGAGCGCGACCAATCGTCTACTCCAGGTCCCTGGCAACAAGGCGGCTCTCTCGACCTCCATGGACCATCAGGTCAAGCGGCACTCAAGAAAGCGCGTCTATTTGACGCATTCAACTCGGTCTACGCACGCTGGGACGCTTCACGGGTGCACATTGTCAACCAGACAGGAGAGACAGTTACACGCTTTGGCGAGGGGCGCGACGCACCCGAGATCGATCGCTTGCAGCTGCGTCAACTTCTACTTGACTCAGTGGACGCAAGTAAGATCCGGTGGGACCATGAAGTGAGGTCTGTTGAGAGAGAGGAGAGCAGGTCTTCTGGAAGCAGGGAAAATTGCTGTACTATTCACTTCACCAACGGCAGGTCAGTCACTGGGTGCAGGCTTATCGTCGGTGCTGACGGTGCTTGGAGCAAGCTTCGCCCTCTGGTAAGCTGATGCTTCAAACGCGGAAGTCTGTATGTGTAGCTAAATCACTGAATATCTCAGCTTACGCCAGCAAAACCGGTCTACTCTGGAAAAATGTACATCGAAGGCAAAATATCACACAACAACCCAAGCTACAGCACAGCCAAGGAAACGGCCGGCCCAGGAACCATGCTTGCGGTCGGCCAGCAGAAGCAAATGGCCGTGCAGCAGATCGCCGACGGCACATATCGCGTGTATTTTGGTCTGAAAGTGCCGGAAACATTCTACCACCACCGCAGTGGCAGCGCCGTTTACAAGACCGAAGCCGTACGTCAGATGCTGCTGTCATCGGACGATTTCTATGCCACCTGGGCGCCACATCTCAAGGCTATTATTGCGAACGCCGAGGGCCCTTTCCGTGCTTGGCCTTTGTACCGCATGGAGCTAGATGACGTTGGCTGGAAGCGTGTGGCCGCTCCTGGGATGACTTTGCTTGGAGATGCAGCGCACGTTTCGACACCGTTTGTGGGCGAAGGAGTCAATTGTAGCATGTACGATGCAGTTGTGCTGGCTGAACGCATTCTTGAACACTGTGGGGGAGCTTCAAGTCTCGCGAACGTTCCGGCAGCCAGACTGGAAAAGGCCTTGGCCTCATATGAAGAGAATATGTTCGAGCGTGGCCGAGACCTGATCCGTCGTAGCATGGAGAGCGAGGGTATGATATTTGCTGAGAATGCGGCTGAGCTACTTCTCCAGGCCATCAGTGGTGCTAATGGTGCATAGGAAGAGCGCCGCAAGAAGGTGGATGTGTATTATATTATGCTTCACATTTGTATCCTACAATTGTAGTATTAATATTCTACTCCCCTCCCTGTATAGTAGCAATCAGAGTTATAGCTGCTTAATATACACTCTCCAATCATGTCCGCAGGAAGGAATCCTATTTGAGGAGCACTATCAGCTTCCATACATGCCTTACACATATAGAATCCCGCGAAATGTAATCCTTGACATAAATGCTTACATGAATATTGCCGCTCCTCCAAGATCTAAGCTGTCAAAGACCTCTGAGGCTTGGTCTTCAGGAAATCTACCACCGCTATAACGGAGCTTATGTTAGCGGACGTATTTTAGGATAAAGAAATAGGTAAATCACCTGATTTCAGCTCCTCCGGCCGCTCCTGAACTACCCAGTGTCCACAATCTATATTGACGATCCGTGACTGAGGAAAGAAGGAAGACATGACCGGAAGGGCATTCTCCGGGATATAATGACTTCGAAGCGCCCGAATAAAAAGTGTAGGATTGTGAAATTTTACTGTCTCGTTCTTATGTGGGAAATCGCCCAGGGGAGACAATGCGGTGTTGAGTATATCCAACGGAACGCGGGATTTTAGATATGGCGTGTCGCTGTCTTTAACAAAATTGCTCAGCAACCATAACCGTATGGATAGAGACTAGCTCGATCAATGTCAGCATCGGTCTTACGCGAGGGGTGGAAATAGAATAGCGGCACGTACATCTTCATATTCTCGCAGAATCATCTCAGCCTCGTGGTGGGTTTTCACCTTGGCATCCCTGACTTTTGCCATTCCTTTTAGATACCCTCGAAAATCATCCGTCAGAGGTAAATGGATTGGACAGTTGTCGATGGCTACAACATCGGAGACGAGATCTGGGAGCTGAAGAGCAAGTGTTAAAGCAGTTTTGGCGCCCCTGGCAGTAGATTAACAATAAGGAGAGATTCAGGATGCTCGCAAAGGGGAGTTGCACATAGAATGACCGATAAGTGTTGCTCTCTCCATCCCATGGCTCTGCATGAAAGATGCAACGTCCAGAGCCATTTCCATGTAATCATGTTTCAAGTGATGGCCCGACTCCCCATGATTACGAAGATCCTTCATTGCTGTCAGCTGGAAAAGTCACCAAGGCTTGAATTGGATGCAATGCTTACTACAGCGAAGACCGGTCTCGATAGATCTCTAGCCAATAACCTCAATCAAACAGTGAGCCCGGAGCCTAACGGTGCGACAAGACCACATAGTAGCTTACTTGCTCATCCTTCGGTTTTCTCTCTTCGATCCAAGGAATCCATGCAGAAATATTATGGGCACATGGTTGTCGGCATCTAAATTCTTGCAACCTGCAGGTGTGAGGCTATGTAGTTCATAAGTGAGAGCGACCCTTGAAGCTGCAGCCGGCGAAGAAAGTGGTTTTATGCGGGCGAGACTTTGACCCAAATTCTTTAAAGCGGCAGACATGAGAATCAAGAAGCAGGTATTTAACACTCAGGCTTAGTAAATTGGGCCCCTTGGATGGTTATTTTGGAATCACATCCATCCCTGGCAAAGAAAAGCATAATTTGCACTCATGACATGACTCATCTAACCCTTTTTAGCTGCTCTAAACCACACGCTAGTCAGTTTGAAGTTAGGTGGGTCACCGCAATGAGTCCTGCCTATGGGGTATTGTATGTTGGAGTATGGGGGTGTGGTGCAAAACTCATTAGCCGCTAGTAAGCTTGGCAGGGTAATAAGACCGAGCGGCCTTACATAGTGTTTGTACAGTAGCTAACTTCGATTAATCTCAAGTTCTAAGAATCGAATACTGAAGCTATTTAAACAGCTAAAAAATATCTTCGCAGGCCAGATCTCTGATATATTACCTATAAGAGATAGTGCCCTTTACTTAATAGCCCTTCTAATCATAATTATCCTTGCCAGTTCGGCCCTCTTGATATTTATTACCATAGTCGAACTTAATAATAACCTGGAAATGGCATATAAGATGCTTAATCCACTGCTAAATATGCTCCTGTGGAAGATATTTCCATGCCTTCATCTATGCCTCTTTCCCTGTCTTTTTATCGCGGGGTCACAGGGTGCCCCTTGAGAAGTTATATGCTGTTTAAGCCATGGGCCCATGGCCAGGCTGGCTTAATAGTATTAAGATTAGGGGAGTTCCCTAGCTAATCTATGATCTTCTGGACCCCCTTGGTATTATACATAGTCTACTGGAATTAATGACAGTGAGCCAGAGCACCATCTTTAATATAATTATGTTTAGTTATTTGATTGTATATTCTTTAGCAAAGGGAATTAGCTCAGGGATAAGGACTTCCTATAAAGGTAATAAAAGAAGCTATTAGTTCTTAGATTCTTAGTAGAGACTCTATAGTAAAAGAACCAGAAAAGGGGGAATACATCTCCATCAGTAATAATGACCACGACGGTGGGATTCAGCATCTCTCCACAGCAGCTTTAGACAACGGGTCCAGGATCTTGTTCCTCAGTGGTCCGGCAACGTTCGCACCAGTGCTAAAGGTCATGCCCGAGATGACATCCGCAAGGTCTGATTCAATAGCCACATTGTCAAAGTCAGATCCCTCAATCGAGCGGACTGAGAACTTGTTGTCAGGGTTGAAGGTCTTGGCAGCCTTGTACAGCCCCCGGATGGTCTCCTTGGTCGTCGGGATACAGGACTCTTCAGTAGTCATGGAACCGCTGTCATCTGTTGTTCGTTAGCATTATGCACCTCACATGTAGTGCCCAGAGTTTGCCTGAGTTATGTGGGGGGACGACCCTAGAGAACGGTGAAGTCGTAAAACGCCAGCTGGGCCGCTCTGGGGACCTCCTCCGCTTCGATGTTGGACTTGGCCGCAATGCCCCGGATGTTCGTGGCTGCCCGGCTAGTAACTTCCAGGATTTTGTCCTTGGAGAACTGGGGGAAGCTAGCTACGTTCTTGGTCGCGAACTGGTTGAGCTGCTTCTTGGTCTAAAGTTGGGCAGTGGGAGGCTCAGGCTCAGCAGGGGTTTCGGGGGTAGCTTCAGATGGCGAGGTGCTGACTCTGCCGATGTTATCGATCACGGGCATGCTGCCGTCTTGGATGTTCTTTAGGTGGTTCGGAGTTGCTTAGTGTATACACCATTTGATTGAATTTTTTAGAATGGTACTTTTCCGGTCAGGGCAGCCAACTCCGGCACAAAGTCCGAAAGAATCTGATCAGCAACCTTGCCCGCGAAGAGGGTCAGCGTGCTCTGGAGCTAGAGGCGATCAAGGCCGGAAAGATGGCCATTGGTGAACGATTCAATCTCTTTGCGATACTTCTCGTACTTGCAACCTCCCACGGTGGGGCTTAGCATGAGGAGGGGCTGCTCGATGATAGTGTTCTCGCTGATCAAATGGGAGACTACCTGGACACCCCCCGGGACACGCAAGTTGAAGGTAAGAAGATTCTCCATGATGAAATGGAACAATGAGTAGAAAGTGCAATTGAGGTAATGTTAGTGTGACAATCGACCGCTGGGCACCTTCATTTGGGTGGCTTATACACATACCCAGCCCGATAAAGCCATTTAATACAATGATATTCGCATATACCCTATTAGCACATGTTCGTCTCATCCCAGAACAACTGAAGGCGAGGTCAGCGCCTGCAGTTCACTGGCTGATGTCTCTGGTATCTTGCCGCTGGTTCGGAAAGTAAGGAACGAGGTGTGCATGCCCCTTCCTCCAATAGTAACTGCGATTGCAGGGGGCCTGCGTATTTCTCCGTCGATTCAGCTCCCCATGTTTCTTAGACCTGTGTCTCAACGCATCCTTGAATGCACTCTGCATGATGGAGAAACCGTGCGTCGCCTGTGGCTGGCTGAAAGGCGGCATGTCCGGAACTTTGAATTCACCGGTGATAGGGCAGACCAACAAAGATATGGAATAGTCGAACAAGGATTTCACTCAAACTATAACCTTGAAAAGACGCCAACTGGAGGTATAGCCTTGTATTCAAAAGGATTTCTATGTCTAAACGTTCTGAAAACTCTTCATAGCGCGACCAATCATTAGATTACAGTTCTGCAGCTTATTTCCCCGAACAGGTCTTTATTGGATCGTGCCTAATAATAGTACTTGGATGGCAGTCAGCCGTGGCAATCTTGGCGGGGCAAGTTTATCGCCAAAATCATATCATGGCTGAAGGTCAGTGGAGCTAGTTTAGGGCCCAACGTTGTCTGCAATCAAGGATGATCGAAGTGATCTTCCGGGAGGATCCTCGGTATGTTCATGGGATTTATCTGTGGGCATTAAGGAAACACTCGTGTGAGGAGATACAGTTTCAAATATTCCGAGTTATGGGACGGCCCGTACCATGCAATACGGAAACACATAACGAGGAGCTGCCGGTAGAACTTACAAAAGCGGCTTAACGTGCTTCATATGGGAGTCCCTAAAAGTGTTCAAAATAATAATAATAATAAAAAAAAAGGAAATCTGACTATAGGCTAGCGATCCTTCATGTGAGCCTGTGCGTTCACCTACCCGTTTGTGTCTAGGAGCAGCGAGAAATGTCCGTCCACCACAACTTCCCCACCGACAGGTACTGAACTGCTGGTCCATGCGCTCCTCGATACCCTGGGAAATCCAGGTTTTGGTCCGGAATTTTTGCCCTCGTTATCTACATCGCCATAATAAAATGTCTCCACCATTCACAGGAAGCGTAGCTACCCGGTGAGTTTTCGGTTGGGGACTGATTGCTGCCGTCGCCAGATAGTAGTTACTCCCACCGGGAGCAGCAATTCATTTGCCACACTGGCAAGATTGGGGCTTGAACCGAAGTAACAAGCACTCCTTCACTGAGAGAATGGTTCGCGGAGAATTATCATGGTAAGGACGATACCAAAGAAGACTTACGATCCAGATCTGAACATGTGTTTGAATGCTTTCGCCGTTGAAAAGAGGAAAATGGATCAATTCTTCTCGGACCTGAGTGCCTGTTTGATTGCCTCGGATGATCAGAAACAGAAACTCGACAAATACTACTCCGACATCCAGAGTCTTCAAAACCAGTTAGAGCAGTGTCGAAGCCAAAGTTCGGCCGCTGATGCCCATCTGCTAACGGTCAACAAATAACCGTCGGATCTACTAGGTTTATAGCCTCCTGCAATCAGGTTTTCCACGGACAAACTATCAAACTAGTTCCCAGCGTGAGTTATCGCGACTGCCTCAACCTCTGCGCGGCTGAGCCGGAATGCCGTGCTTCTTCTTTGGACCATCTATCCCGATGCTGGGGATATCGATCCATTCAGACGGAAACTGATCAGGTGGGAATGCATTCTGGGAAGAGAATATGATCCGCTGAGCTATTCAGCAGGGTTACCTATGGGATAAGATGGGGCAATGCGTGTGGTGGCGCATTTTGAAGAATTCAATGCATTAATTCGCTGACGTTTTACCAATTTTTTTTTTTTTTTTTTTTTTTTTTTTTTTTTTTTTTTTTTTTTTTTTTTACCCTACATCCATTTGTAGTACCAGCTTTACTGTCTGAGCAGAGAATTTCGTAGTCTGTGCATGTGTAATCACCAACTTCATCAGCAGTAAGGGCTTCAACATTTAATGAGTTCATATTTATGTAGTTTGAAACACGACCAATTGAAAGGCTACTTAGAGAGTATGGTGTCAGCCCAGGCCCACTTAACCTGTCATGTTGTTTGCCGGCCAACAAACTATTGCTGCACCTGAATCACTGCAAACTTTGACCACCACTGCTCGTAAGATAGGCACTATAATGTCGAACAGTTCCCATGCAGCCATGTAGGCCAAAGTGCAAGGCGCTTCGCCGTAGCCACATTGGTTCACCACTTCCAATTTGTGATGATGGCTGGCTGGAGTATCTCACCGGATTGGCATGAACTCCGGATCAGACGCGTATTCACCCACGCAGCTAATTCAGATCTTGCAAACAAAGCTAGGATCAGGTAAACGCCCAGTCCCTTATACTTACCCGCTGAGAGTTGGCCTCTGCAATCCAACCAACCTCGCGATAAACTTGGGAAGCTTCAAGCTAGGAGACATGGAAGCTCTCAGCTTGTTGCTCTTCACACCACTAATGTTCTACTATGCACTCTGCATGCACGCTGTTCCTTTCTCAGCAGACACCCGTGGATCATGCAATGGCGCTCAGCATCCTGTACGAGCACCTGGAAGTACGGAGTACTCCGTACGGAGTGCATGTTGGTGGCTACTACCAACCCTGTGACTGGCAGGGCCGCTATTCTGCCACCTCTAGATAAATTTTATCTTGATTGGGATTGTGTGCAACAGCACTAGCGCTAGGTAACTAGAGCAGCGCCTTCATAGCTAGAATGTGACCAAATCTGAGATATATTATTTGGCAAGCTCGTATAACTACACTCCGCCCGGTGACTATCTAGTGCTACGATAATATATCCCGTGGCGTTTTCTTGCGGACATTGGCCGAGGCCGTGATTCAAAAGTCCTATCTCAACCTTTGAACTTGGGCCCTTCGGCGGTGGCTGGCTGCGCACTCTGTCGCAGAGCAATTTGGGTCGATTCTCTTGGGCTAGGCGCAGCTACTAAGGCGGGGATTGACTGTGGTGGATGTTGTGTTACGTGGCCAGGTTCCGGACCGTCCGTTCTAAGTTGAATAGGTTTTAGAGAGTTGATGCTCATGGGGAATTATACAGGCCGGAAATCTTATAAATAGGCCTTCGACGACGACCATAATTTTGTGGATCAAGACCAAGTTCGCCGCAAAACACAACCATGAAGCCGCAGACTGTCCTACTCCTGCTTGGTGGTCTCGCTTCTCTGGCCTCAGGTAGCTCTGAATGCCAGACAATCATCAATTGCAAGTCCACATCGACGGTCACGACAACTATTACCAGCGGAGTTGAGACAATTACGGTGCGGGAGACGGACACTGTCACGGCTACAACAACTATCTTGAATCCAGATGCGGTCACCACGTGCACTCCATGTTCGGTAGAGTCACCAGCAACGACTGCCGGAACCGTTCCTGTGTAAGCTAGTACCGAAGCACACTGCAACCTGTTCGCACCCATTCAAGGATCTAGCCCTAACTTTGGTGCATCTCAACTAGGACTCCTGCTACAACTACAGCGCCTACCCCTGCTCCGTTATGTACTACCACCGTCCAAAACTGGAACAGAGTCTCTCTCATGTGGACACCGGAACATCCGAAGCCGGGGACGCCATCGCCAGCAACATTTGCCTCCAACTTCGACTATGAAACAATCCTCACACTTACAGACGATTTCACGTCACTCGAGAGATTCGAGGTCTATCAAGATTTCCAGTTCATTGGCAAAACATCGGAGCGTACTGCAGAAAGCACGTCGAAGAATAATGTCCAAGACGCTGAAGAGGCTATTAGGCTAGGCTTTTCCCACGGCTCGTTCACTGTTCCAGCAGGTGAGTTACTAGCTTCGAGTTCGATACAAGGCAGTCAGCCCTAATGGCATTAATCGCATACAGGCGCACACACATTTACCATCACCTGGCAAGAAGCGGCTAATAACCCACAGGTTCAGGACTGGTCAGGTGGTGCTTTGCAATACCGCTTTGAGCGGGTAGGACCGTGCAATTAGTCTGAGGCGATTGTGTTAGGGGTAATGGAGGTTAGGGATGTCGATAGTCCTGCGGAGAGTCAGTATCATAGAGCGGGACAGTGCTATATGGAGGAGTCCTGGTAGTTTTGGGGAGACTGGAGAAGAGCATCTGAGTATTCTAGGACTGGGTAACTGATTCGTTCGGGTTGGCCAAATGCGGGCTTTGTCTGTTGACGCCAGCAGATGGGCGCTGGTGAGGAGTGCAGGATGACTAGGACAGATTGGACAATTGATTGCTTGGAGACCGTTGGCTGTCTCTTCTTTCTGGCGTGCACGGCGAAATTAACTTGACCCGAGACCTTTTCAAGGGGAACACCCGCTTCATTCCAGAATATTTTGTGGAGCCCATGTACATCGCTGAGATGGTAGCGAAACCAGACCTCAGAGTCGAACTTGATTCGGCTCGTCGGGGTTTGAGCACATGTAGTCGCCACCCATCTCTAGGGTGGCGTAACTCTAGCATAGTTACGAAGCAATAGAGGCTCGGACGATGAATCTGAATGCTCCTCAATCTGTACTCTGCCAGGATCTAGAAACCAATAAATGAATACTAGTCTGTCTATATGACTCCCGGCCGGATGTAAAACGAGTACTGAATTCCTTAGCCGTCCGTTTGGAAACTTTACCTTAGTCGTGGTAGAAAAAGCCAAGGACAACGCATGGGATATAAATGGTGTGGTGCAGATGGCCATGGTGTTGCGCGTAAGTATGCACCCGAATTGCTTACAGTTGCCCCCTCGCGCACTTGTCTAACCAGGTTCCATTATATATACAAGATAGCTCCTTCTCGACTATCTCGTACGAACAATGGCGCGCTGGACTGCTCCCGGGCACGAAGCGATATACCAGACTGCGAGCAATCTGCTCTCCCATCCTCGTTCAAGTCTTATGAGCCATGTACTTCTCAACTGCTATCTGGCATCCGCTAGTCTTTGTGGTCTCACTGTCTATGCCACTTCACTGCCTTTAACAAACAAGTCCTTTACTATGGACCCTGATATTATTCTGAAGCGTCAGAGCGCAGACTATATCTATGGAGATAAGCCTGGTTCTTCCTTTTTCTATATATTTGAATATATTATGCAAAAGCTCGCAAGGTATTAATAGATGTAAATACCTATAGCTCCTCCCAGCAAGCCACCATCTTCTAAGCTGCTCAGAGCTATGACCTAACTGGAGGCCGCGGAGTTATAGGTAGAAATGGTGAATATGAGTTGCCTACAAGGTACAGTCCTCACTGCCTTCATTTGTAGGGGTGGTTAGTTGGATCAACATGGTGTTTGTTTGAGAGTGAGAGGGGCTGGCTAGAAAGAAACTTGTCTGTGGTAAATTTCTATCCTGTCCTATAGTCAGCGCTTGTATTTATTGACAGGCAGATGGAGGGGTTTCGATGACAAAAGCCAAGGCTGAAGTAAATCTGGACAACTACTTAGGCGGGGTCTATCCTGACAAGGGTGCAAGAAACAGGAATAAGCTCCTAGAGTATGGTTACTCAACAAAGACTAGATGCAAATTTCCTTCATTTCCTCTTACATCCGCAATCTTCAATCTGGACATAACCTTTTAGAGATTCTTTCCGAAAAACTCCACAAGCTTCGGGCCAGATACCGCAAGGTCATCATAGAGGTCGAAATGGTTCTTTCCTTCGACAATGAAGAGCTCCTTAGGCTCACGGGCCGCAGCAACTGCGGTTGCACTGTAGTGAAGAGTCTGAGCCTTGGATCCAGCGATCATTAACAATGGCCGTGGAGAGATCAGGTGTTGGAAGTTGAATGAGTCATAGCTGACCATAAGATCGTAGCTGGAGGGAGGGACTTTCTGGTCCGAACGTGGGTGGTTTCCGCGCTTAGATCCGTAGTATGCAGCTGCATCCTTGAAGAAAGGGTCGGCATCATCGGGAATCTGCTTGATATCGGAGCTGAACATGGGAGGCGGCTCCGAGTGACGTCCGCAAGCCTCCTGCGTCCGCCATTGTCCTGCCGCCTGAAGAGCCCCAGCAATAGCTTGAGGGGACTCCTTATTGTTCTCCTCATGTAGGCCACCATTACGGGTCATGCGACCGACACAAGCGGCACTAACAGTGGCCAGAGCCTTGATTCGCGAGTCAGACTGCGCGGCATAGGATGTATAACCACCCGAGGCGCAAATTCCAAGGACACCAATACGGCTGGGGTCAACCTTGCCCTTGAGAGTGGTCAAGTAGCTCACAGCAGCCTTGTTATCTTCTACTCTCTGATGGGGGTCTTCAAGGCCACGTGGCTGGCCGGTGCTTTCCCCTTGGTACCCTGCGTCGAACGTGAGGGCGTAGAAACCGGCTTTGGATAGGAATCGGGCATGGTCCGCAGAGGTCTGTTCTTTGACACCGGTCATGGGGTGACTGACCACAACTGCAGCACCCTTGCGATCAGGGGAGCCGGCTACAGGTGCATAGAGCTGGCCGCTAATCTGCAGCATGAAAGATGGAAAGGTGACCTTCGTCGGTGTAGACATTGTAGTGGGTAACGATGATCTGAGTAGGGACAGATAAATGGGAACAGATGGTGGAACAAAAATGTAAAAGTAGACGATGGTTCAGGTTTGAGAAAATTACCGTCGGGATCGATCCTTTTAAGTGCTGGCTGTTTTCTGCTGGAGCTCTCATATGGGGTGGTCATAGTCCATGACGCGAGGGTGTTCCGCCCCGAAAAGTCCGAAAGATTTCGGAAAAAAGGGCTGACAGTGTACAGCTCCTCATGGTAACTAGATGGATTTGTGATTACGCTCGGCGATTAAGTCTACCGCGAAAATGGTATCGGAGGTGTGGTGCAAAACCCATTAGCCGCTAGTAAGCTTGGCAGGGTAATAAGACCGAGCAGCCTTACATAGTAATTTGTATGGTAGCTGACTTCAATTAATTTCAACTCCTAAGAATCGAATATTGAAGCTATTCAAACAGCAATATCTTCCCAGGCTAGATCTCCAATATCTTATCTATATGAGATAGTACCCTTTGCTCAATAGCCCTTCCAATCACAATTATCTTTGCTAGTTCGGCCCTCTTGATATTCATTACCCCCTTCCAACTCAATGATAACCTCAATATAGCATATAAGACGCTCAATCCACTGCTAAATATGCTCCTGTGGAAGATCATTCCATGCCTTTATCTATGCCTCCTTCCCTGTCTTCTTATCACGGGGTGCCCCTTGAGAAGTTATACACCGTTTAAGCCATGGCTAGGCTGGCTTAATAGCATTAAGATCAGGGGAGTTCCCTAGCCAATCCATGATCTTCTAGACCCCCTTAATATTGTATATAGTCTGCTGGAATTAATGATAGTGAGCCAGAGCTCTATCTTCAAGGATGATTATGCTTGATCATTTAATTACACATTCTTGAGCAAAAGGAATCAGCTTAGGGAGAAGGACTTCCTATAAAGATAGTAAAGAAAGGTATTAGTTCTTAAATTCTTAGTAGAAACTATAGAGAAAGAGAATACTACCTTATAGTATCTGTACCAGTCAACACCTCCCTTTAAATCCCAAGAGAGTAAGCCATTCTTCTTATTCCACTTCTAGATAGGTGCACAGCCAGGTACTCTTCCATTCTGAAGTTTTAAATGTGCCATACTAGTATTAAGCTCCCATTCTGCCTGCCAGATAGGCTCAAGCTGTTAATTTAAAAGAGTAATCTCTTGCTCAGCATGCTTCTTATCTTAAGCTGTTTCTAGAGCCTAGATATAAAGAGGACCCTTCTTATCATAAGAAAATGCTCCCTAAACCATAAAATTAGAAGTCCCCTTCCAATACTGCTGTATAACCGTGGGATCATTTCTCTTATCTTTTATATGCTAAACATGAATTGCTCTACACCGTTATCTAAGAGAAATAGAGGTTTTATCAGTCTATATCATGTTTTTCCAGTCTTCAAGGGTCCAGTCTTTATGGGTAAGGCAAAACTATAATCTTTTCTACTTCATCTCATCAGTAAGGCCTGGTTTTGTAGTTTGTTTGACTGCTTTATAGCTATACCACTTAAGAATATATAAAACAGAAGAATAAGAGATATTAGCTTCAAATACCAGAATTTCAGAAGATTTCTTATGCCTATTTCAATCCTTGCTAATAGATTTAAGAATAGCTTATTCAGTTACTTTAGTAATCTCCTTTGGATGTCCTGTATGCTTGCTATCTTTGACATAAACTAGTAAGATATGTGGATCTATCTCTGGATTGTAGCCGCGTTCCCTGGCTTTCTTAATCCAGTATTAAATCATCTGGCGAGGCATGCCAGTTATAGCCTCAATATACTTAATATCAACACCACAGTAGGCCAAAGTCAGGGCCTGCATGCGTACAGTGACTGGATGATAAGATCCATGCATCTTTAATGGCTTCGAGGGCTTCAAGGAGGGCTTTGAGGAGGCAGGCAGGTTGAAAATATAAATAGTAGGGGAAGAATGTGCTGAATTCATCTTAGAGAGAGAAAAGGGGGTTCTGTATAGCTTTAAATTTCTTTTTTTGGCTAAGAGTTGATAGATAGAGAAGTTAAAAACCATTGTTTTGGAATGAGTATAGATCTCTATAGTAATTTTAGTGTATGGCTATGTAAGTGGAAATGCCAAGGTTACTAGCAGCTAATGAGTTTTGCACCACACCTCCGATAAGCCTCACCCTCAAAACAGTAAGCCTGAGACCAATGGCCCCTGTGACACTGGGGCAAGACCCAGCAACAGTCCTCTGTAACAACACATCAGTACTGCAGGTGATTAGGAACTAATGCAACAGGTCAGGATAATAGATTATCTATACCAACCTGCAGGCAGCATTAGAACTAAAGGTGCTAGGTATTCCCCTCTGCCTCTATTGGATTCTGGGATGTAGTAATATCCCTCAAAACAACACAGCAGATAAGCTAGCTAAACTAGCAGTTAGCCCAGATAAGATGCATCCTTTCTGCCGCCTGGTTTCGCAAGAAAGGGCTGCTATCTGAAAGCAGAT